ATCTAAAATATTTATTTTATTTTTAAAATTAAACCTCAATTTTATCAAACCATTAAATAATAATCGGATATTGACGCCGACTCCTTTAACCACCCCACCACCCCCCTCCCCCCCCAAAAAAAATTACTGTGCTTTTTGAACAATAGAATGATGGAACATTAAGCTCTACTGGGTAAAAAAGAAAGAAACAGTTCTGGGTCATTCCACCTATTTGTTTGTGCACATTTTTTTCAAAAATGTTTCAAAGTAGTATTCCCTTTTGACCTGATTCCTGTTAATTTTGATTCACATAAAACTTATCAAGATAAATATCTAATTAATTTTTGTTGAAATGGGCGTTGTTAGCATTGTCATAAAAAAGGAATTTTCATAGACTAGGACAACTTTGATTGAATGATACACGTGCCGCATACTAGTATGCACACTGTTTTCAACCGACATCAAATCACGTCACTTCCGTTACGTAAACAAGGGCAAACTAACCCACCCACACACATACATGCGCATTACTATCTCCCCTTTAACACAGTTGCGAGGGGATGATAAAAAACCAAGAAGATACTGTAGTACACATGTAGGTTTCAAAAAGTCACTTTATGCTACTCAGTCGCCATTAAGTCATGCGTATCTTCTCGCTAGAGTAACTTTTTGTTGCTAGAGCTCACTGCAGACAGTAACAATATTATCAGCAATTTGATAATTAAAAAAAAAAACCTCGGTAGCCCTTTCTCCAATCATTATATAATTTATCGGGTGACAGATGTTTGATCCAATGTAAAGAAATCGATATACATGTACATGTAGTTGCAAAGTAAATATTGACTGCATAAAGTTGTTGTTGGACATTTAATAATCAAACATCGACTGCAGGTTTTAGAAGTTCTTTTTAATTTTTTTTTTTTTGATAAAAAGAACGGACCTAACATAAAGTGACAAAGGAATTTAAAAGGAAGCGTTTATTGTTTCTCGGAAAATACCCCTTCTTTCTATCAATGTTACGTGATATATTGAATAAAATTTACCAGTTGAAATACATACTTGGAATGTGAAATAGTTCCGAGAAAATCTATACATTTGAAATACAACATGGAGGAGAGAAATAAAATGGAGAGTTTATGGCTGGAATTCTTTGACAGAACAGATAGGGATAAAAATGGCGTTCTCTCAATAAGCGAGCTAAAGAAAGCACTGGTAGAGGATTATAATCGTAAAGACTTAACCGACTCCGAGATAGCTGTAAGCCTCTCTCTCTCTCTTTCTCTCTCTCTCTCTCAAAATGGAAAGATTTTATAATTTATCAAGCAACGCTATGTGTTGATCTTAAATTGTTTACAACTGTACTGTGTTTCGATTTTCTGAAAAAAGTGGTAAAAAGGACGAGATAGGCTAGGACCCACTTTTGGCCCCCGATTTGGGGTGTCTTTTAGAATGATATACATGTAACAGTTTATAAATAAAACCTGTTGTCAGCTCTGCCATAAAATATGTATTGGTTCTAAGTTGAGGGGTATGCAGAGGACAAAGAGAAGTAATAATATATGTCAATTTTCGAAATTTCTTATCTTTATGCAATTTTTCTTCGACTTATGTATACAGATCTCAGAATGGCAAGCTTGTGCTCTGTGTTTGCGAAGAAAGTATCTTAAATTTGTTAGAATTACAGCAGAATTGCGGAAACTCGGGGAATTGTCCCATCCCTGCCCCCCCCCCCCCCCCTCCTTGGGACCTCCTTGTAAGCTTTGAATCAATATAATTGCTTTTTTTTTCTACAAGCTTTCACAATTTTAACAAAGTTCTGGTTTTTACATAAAAGGAGAGACCAGATTCGACCGTTACCTTACCTTGTCCTTTAATAAAATCAAAGTGCATATTATATACATGTATCTTCCTTTTCTCTGTTTAAGTTTCTTTTTTACTTTCATTTAAATCTTTCGATACCCCAGTGCAAACGACTGAAAAAAGTAACTGTTATTGAATTGATACATGCATATTGTTTGGAAAGTTTGTCGTGAAGTTTCACTTTTAACTGTATTTTTTGCCCGTATTTTTTACAGGAAATGTTCTCTGACATTGACAAGAATGGGGATGGACAGATAACAAAGGAGGAATTCCTGTCCGAAATGATGAAGAAAGAGAGGAGGTCAGTATTAATATGGGTAGAGGGGGGAAGATGACCGGAAGTTATTTAAACGAAAAAAGATCGAAAGAATGGAATATAAAACAGTTTTCTTTTAACAAATAAATGATGCAGTTGTAATATATAATTACAGAACAGCCGTGGAGGAAGCCTTTCAGAAAATTGATAAAAATGGCGACGGGAAACTGGCCAAGGACGAAGTGGCGGCCGCTATGAGAGAGATTGGTCATTTTACGGACGAAGAGATCGATAAATTGATCAAAAAAGCGGACAAAAACAATGACGGTGTCATTGATCGGGCAGAATTCGAAAAAGAAGTGTTCTAATAGAAGCTCACTGCAATCTATGCATCCATTGCTGTTTTTGCTTTAAATGTTTTTGTATGTTTTTAATGAAATGCAATTATTTCCCATATGAAATCCTAAGAACTTCTTAGATTACCACTTTTCCTTTATACTGACTGGCATCTCAGAATAAATTTAGTTTAACAACAGCAAAATACCATCCTTTTCCACATTATTAATGCCGTATTGTTTTGTTTCTAAGAAAAAAATAAGTACATTTTCTGAAGATAAAATAATAAATTCTAAGCTTTATGCAATTCACACACATGTAAATATACATATGTATATGAACAATTTTAAAAAATGTAAAAAGAAATGACTGCCATTGTAATGTCACCAGTCCGCATCAGTACTTACTTGAGCGTACATTCAAACTGTATCAGTTTTTCACGATCACTGTACTTTATGTACAAGCTAGATATCAAAGATGCTTTGTTATTGTTGTAGACACATTTTGGAAATCCATAAAAATAAGACTTTAGCACGTATCCTAAAAGGTAAACATTTTACATGTAGCACATGTCTTCTAAATTCTGTATAGGAAAAGGCTATTTCTGATGGAGTTTATTTTATTTGCAAACAAATCAATCCAAGAATTCCCGAAAAAATGTTTTAATCGCTTGTTGCCTTATGAAGCTTTATCTTGAGGTACATACTCTCTCTGTACTGTACGAAAAATTGCTGTTTCTTGGTACATGTTTTTCCTGTAAATATCACTTGTATAGAAAAACACATTTGTATATTTTTTTTTTAGATCAAGTTGAATATAATTTTTTACTGATTTGTAGAATTCTTAAATTTAGCTCTTGCCTATTATACATTACATATAGATTTAAATCAAATCTATTTGGAACCACGAAGATTCATTTAAAATAAAGCGAAACTATTTCACTGATGTATTCTTTTTTATGTTTTAAAAAAAAAGCAAAGGTAAACTCGGACTATTGCTTCAGTGATGCATGCAAAGGTTTCCGTTGGCTACCTGTATCACCGAGTCATGAAGAAAGGCAAATGCGCAGATGTTCAAAAGGAAATCGATTAGCTAGAAAACTTTGTACAGTTGTTTGTTTTAAAACAATATGAATATAATATTTTCATCATAGGTTATTAGTCATTTACCTTCAGGGAAAAAAAATGTTCAGACAGCTATTTATAAACAGAAATTATTACTTTCAGTTAAATCATTTTGGTCTATATAGCAAAATGTAAAGAATGCTTGAATTGAATACAGATTGAGACACGCAATGCAGAATTCAATCTATTTTATAGGTATGGACAGATCACACTAACAGGACAAAATAAAGAATAAAAAATCTTTTACTTGCAGTGTATACATGTAGATGTTGCTTACATATCCCTAGTGTCCCCCGCTTTCGCGAAAGCGAGGGAACATTAAGGAGGCTAGAGATCAACAAATTATTTTTTTATTAACCACCAGATATAACTTAAATTTTGGAATATAGTATCTTAAGCTGTCAACTATCATTTGGCAAAGAAAAATTTCATAAATTTTAGTTTTAAAATTTGATCATTGTATTATGTCTTTATATGGAGCTCTTCTTTTAAAGGAGATCAAAATATTCTAAAAATGGCCACAACCACCCAGCCCCTTTAAATCTCATTCGTCTGTCACAAAAACTTTCAACCTTGGACATGTCTTTTGAATGAGAATAGATAGAGTTTTCATATTACACATGTGTATTGCCTGTGACAAGATCTTTCTAAATTATACAAAGATTTTTTATCCCGTGACCTTGAAGTTTGACCTACCTTTAACTTTAAAAAAAAATTAAACATTACTTCAGTTGGCCATAACTTTTAAATCAGAAGAGACAGGGCTTTCGTTTAAAATACCCAGGTATATCTATTACCTGTGACAAGAAATTACTAAATACACCATGATTTTTGACCTCATGACCTCGAAGTTTTGACTTCTAGACCTTGAAGTTAAATCTTCTTTTAAAAACTTCAACCTTGGTCATGATCATGACTTTTCAAGAATAGATAGGGCTTTCATTTTAAACCTATATAGTGTCTGTGACAAAAACTTTCTACATACACTATGATCTTTGATCCCATGAACTTGATCTTGAAGTTTGACCTACTTTTCAAAAAATCTTAATTTTTTCCTTACAACTTCTGACTTAGAAGAGATAGAGCTTTCATATTTAATGTGCATTAAATGTGATAAGATATTTCAAAGCATGCTATGATATCTGACCCATGACCTTCATGTTTGACCTAATTAAAAAAAATTCAACTTTGGTGATAACTGCTAAATGACAAAATATAAATGACATAAATAGTGACATCTCACCCACGAAGACACCGAAGGGAACCACAATTCTTTTAATTTGCTTGTTTAGTCAACATTTTAAGTTTAAAATCTGATTTTGATATCTCCAGTTAATGACAGGTGATCAAAATAAGTTTTTTTCCACAACTCTTTGAATATATATCTGATACTTCTGGCATATTAATTCCAGAGAAGAAATGATACACAGCTGTTATCATAATTTATTGAAGGCAACATTGTTTATATATAATGTAAATATCACAGTAAATCAACCACACAGCAGTTAAAGTAAACAATAAAAAAAAATCAGCAGTATCATTAAGTAAGGTAACATCAATTACAAAAATACCTTGTTTGAGTATCTTAGACAAACATATCTCAAATAAATTTTCATTTCATATTGACATATGACATTTTTAAACATACATGTACTCATAACACTAACCTCACACTCTGTATCTCACATTCTCAAATCTGTTTTTACATCAAACTCATATTTACACCATTCACTCAAAATAATCAAAATTCACCCAAAGGTGGCTATTTGACATTTAGTTTAACTTCATCACAAAGCTAAGACATTTAAAAAATAGCTTTAAAGCTATATTCAACAATAAAACTGATAATTTTTATGTCAAGCTGTATTATCAACATAGCCATCTCTCAGTTTTAGAAGAACCGCATAATTAGTCCAGTAGCATCAATCCTTCTGTGACAAAATATTTGGTTGGCTCTTTATTAGCAATATTTTGTAACACCTATTTCTATTGGCCAGTTGTTGTTGGCTGTTTGTTATCAGTATTTTGTAACACCTATTTCTATTGGCCAGTTGTTGTTGGCTGTTTGTAATCAGTATTATGTAACACCTATTTCTATTGGCCAGTTGTTGTTGGAGTTACCATTGGTTGTGATTGAGAGGAGAAAAGTCCATCATCCATTTTACTCTGGGTGTCACCAGGACTATCTCGACGTCTGTTAGAAAATAAATTATAAATGATTATAAAACCAGATTCTGGTAAAAACTTCAAATGGTATTATGAGCAATTTAAGTACAAGTGTAACTATTTTTCAAACATTTCTCAGTCATCATTTTAGTTTTAAGATCCTTAGACAATTTTTACATATCAAGGTTTAAATTTGTGTTCATAATGAGTAAATAATACATGTACATATTCCATGTTTTCTCTCTATTTATAATATTATAACATGATCCACTGTAATACCTTGTAGGAGGTGGGGGGATGTGGTCTGTATCATCGGGCATTTGTTCTCCATCAGACATCACTTGGTTTTCTAAGTAAGAAAGAAATTCAATACAGCTATTACATTTAAATAATTTCCATGATTTTATATGCCTTTTTTTTAAAAGTTGTCAGGTGTGTGAAAAGTTGAAAATCAATATGACATTTGATTTAAAATTATACAACTGTACAAATTTCTCTTGTCCTGTTGACCTTAAATTGAACTCTTGAGAAGACATTACTCACTGTTTGTTAAACTACTTTAGTCTAAGTTCTCATTCAATTAAGCTGTATTTAGCAGGTCCGTGTGTTCTGTAACACAATATTGGAGGTAACAAAAGGCTCGTGTGCTACAATGCTCATACGAGTCACCTTTGCTCTCCTGTTTTTTTTTTTTTTTCAGATGAAATCTTGAACTGAACTTTTACAATTCAAAATCTTTCTTTTTATCAGAAGATATTGCAATAAAGTCACCATAATCTTTACTTTCTCCTTAAGAATTGAAATAGAAGAGGACATTTTAAAAGTATGAGAGTGTCTTGGGTTTCTTCCTATGTGTTGAGGGGATTAGCCAGAAAACATGGAACATTTTCCATGTCATTATCTATTCATATATACATGAAGGCCTTCCTATTATATATCACAGCTGTTTCCGAAAATGATGTAATACTCACCGTCCACAGATAACATGGCTGTGCCCCGCCCACTGGGAGCTGACACGGTATACGATATATAGTCCTTGTCTGGCATGACCATCCCCTGAGCTGAGGTGTTAACATTCATAGCAGGGGTGTTGGATGGCTGGGGCTTCTTTGGGATGTCAGGCTATATTAAAATCACACAAAAAAACATTAAATCATGGGAAATTTAACCTTTTTTCATTTATAAATTGCTGTAAATATGGTACCAATAGAATTTATATTCCTGACCATAGAATTTCAATTTCTACTACAGAACTGTAGATCACTAATTTTTCGCGACACCTTATTTTTGAGATAATTGAACTCTTTATGAGCGAGAAGACATTTTTCACTTATTTTTCCTCTATATAATCGTTAAACTATTTTTGATCATAAGTTCAAGTTTTCATTCAATTAAGCTGTTATTTACAGGTATAACTAAAATGTTAACATGTAATTTCAATCAATATACAATCAAGGAAAAAAATCAATTCCACTTAATTTTTTAAGGAAAAGTATCTTTACTCGTTCTCCAGACTTACAATGACAGGTTTCCTGGGATAAGATGGCTGCTGCCTCTGAGGAACAATTCCTGCTGGTGTGTCCACCTTAATACAGAGGTAGAATTGTTTAAATTGTACTGCATTTAAACATAAAACCGATGTCAAAGATTTTAAAATAAAAAGCACACACTTCTTTTGTATTATAACAAAGATGAGATTTTGTAGCATCGTGAAATTTCAATTATGTCAAAACACCGTAAAATCCGATGCACTTAGATGTATCTTAGTGTCTCTACTTGTGTGCCAATATGAAATCAGAAAAACTGTAGAAAATTTTAAAATTAGAAAATGTCATTTCTAGTAACCTAGGTGTTGAGGAGATAAATCCCGAGCAAAAACTTAGTGCAATCTACTTGTTGCCAAGTAATATTGAAATACCCTGTAGGTAGCTTATGAAATTTCACACCGTTTTTAGTCAATAGCAACAATATAAATCAGATTTTTATATATTTTATGTATCTTTCTATTATATATTATTTTGGCAGCAGCTACAGAAAATGATTTTTAGTAATATGGCAACACCATTCCGTCAACAACCGATACTATTTTATGCATGGCTATTTGTGTGCCAAGTTATACTGAAATCAGCCAAAACTGTAGGAGCTGAAAAATTGTTTACAGACGGATACGATATATAGTCTTTGTCTGGCCATGACCATACCCTGAGCTGAGGTCAAGTTAACATTCATTTAGCGGGGGGTGTAAAATGTGAGGATGGCTACAAAAAGGAGTGTCCTTTTAAAATGTATTTGTTTCTTGAGCTAGATATATTAACATCACACAAAAAAACATTTTTAAATCAAAACTTCCTAGAATTTTTAAAAAAGTTGCTGTAGAATACTGGTTTGTACATATAGAATTTATCATTCCATGTAGGAATTTTTAATTTCTTCAATTTTGAGTAACCATGGCAACATCGTTCATCGAAATTAAAATCCAATGCACTAATGTACTTATGTATCTACTTGTGTGCCAAGTAATATGTTATCAAATAGAACTGTAGGAGGAAGCGTTTTAAAGAAATTTCAAAGAAAATTCTATTTTTAGTAACAATATACCGTTCATCAAAAAAAAAACAAATTCATATTTTATTATCCTAGTGTAGTCTACTTTATTATGTAATATTGAAATCAGACCAAAACTGTAGAAGGAGTAGCATTTTAAAGGAATTTCAAAGAAAATTCTATTTTTAGAACCATTATCGAAATCAAAAACCGATGACATTTTATGTTTAGTGTAGTCCTTGTGTGCCAAATAATAATGAAATCAGACCAAAACTGTAGGAGGAGTAGCGTTTTAAAGGAATTTCAAAGTAAATTCTATTTTTGTGTCATGGCACCACCGTTCATCGAAATCAAAAACCGATGCACTATTTTATGTATCTTAGGTGTGCCAAGTTATATTGAAATTGTAGGAGGAGTAGCGTTTTGCATGTTTAAACATAAAACCGATGTCAAAGATAAACAGATCACATCTAGTAAACTAAAAAAATGATATTTCTTTCTGTTACATGTATTATACATTAATACATACAAGGGAATTTTGTTGGCCCAAAGAACTAAACTGTTTGCCTAAAGCTAAGGCAATTAGGTCAATGGCAGATTGGGTTGTGGAATCATGCCAGTCAGCAAAACGTACTGTTTGTGTACATAAATTGGCATATTCAAAATTTAGTGCAATTTACTTGGTATGGAGTTGTTGGCATATTCATAAATTAGCGCTACACACTTTGGTGCTGTAAATTGTTTTTATATATTATTTCATAGTGGTATTCATAAATTAGCACACCGTTGTCCGCATCAAAGCAGCTACCATGAAGTCTAGTTGCTTTTTTTTTTTTAAGTACACATACAGTTTCCTGCTAAAAACACTGTATTTTGTTCAAATTTCCGTATATGTTCAATTCAATTATACTTTTTTTTTCTAGCTTTGCTAGAACTGCTAACTGCCTCTTTATTTGAGGTGAAAAAATTGATATTGTGACATAATAAGCAAGCCCCACCCCACTTCCAGTCAATCTTTCCTTGTAGAAACTTACAGCATAACTGACAGCGGCATGATGGAGGGAGGCAGCCTGTCTCTGTAGAGTCTGTCTGATGTAACTCTCGTCCTTCAGGGCATGTAAACTGTCAACAAAATAAAACACATCAGTCATCCTCATCTACACACAATCAAAATCCCAAATCATTAACAAAACGTACTATAACAACAGAATAACAGCTGTGACGTCCAATGATTAATCACGCATTATAAAGCTTATTTTCACAAATTGATCCTTATGTCAACTTAACCAGTATTGAAACATGAATCATTATATGTTTGATATCATGTAAAGGATATAAGTAAGTCCCCCCCCCCCCCCAAAAAGAAAAAAGAAAAGAAACAGTGATATACCAATTACATAAAAATATATTATTACCTGTTTAAATTCATCTTTACACAGCATAGACAAATAGAAAGTGTGAAAATAGATAAGTTTTAAAACATTGATTGAACTTATGAACTGATATGATTCATACCTCTGCTGCAAAATTGCAAACTTCTTTTCCCATGTGCGATGTATCCTTTCAATTTCTTTTTTAAGCCTTACAAAAAAAATCAATTACAATGTATTATTTTATAAATATATGTGCATAAAATTAAAACTTTTAACTGAACAAGAGGCCCATGGGCCTTATAGGTCACCTGAGTATCATGTAACAACTTCCAACAATTGAATTTGATTCGTGTTTTAAACGAGAGGCCATAAAATTCACAATTTTGAAAGAGGCACTCTTGCTTATCATTACTATATATACATAGCATGCTTACTTTGGTTACTTAATACACAGAGGTAGATCAGAGTAACAAACTGAAATTGCATTTCCACTTTATAACCATGTGTGCATCCCATCCCACAGGAATCACTGACCCTGGATCCACATATTTCAAAATCTTGAAAATTTTATCATAAATTTTATTTCATCATGATTAATTGTTGATTAATACCAAAGTGCAGATTTCAAACTATTAATTTATTTTCAGACTATGTAACTCCCCAAGCCCCCCTCCAAGTACCCCTGACCCAGGGGCCCGGAAAATAATCATTTTGGAAGAAGCAGCTTTCTTCATCATAAATATGTACTTAGATCACTGGCATAATACCCAGGAGCAAAGGAAAAGATTTTCAAAGAATTCATACATTTTCACTATATAAACATTAGAGCCTCGCCCTAACACAAGAAGACCTGACCCAGGGGCCCTGAAATCACAAATCTCAAAGAGCATCCTTCCTCATCATAACAATATAAATAGTTCATTGGTTTAATACCCAGGTGCAGAAAAGAAGACTTTAAAAGAATTTATGCATTTTTACTATACATGTACAATCAAAAGAGCCCCACCCTAACACCAGAACCCCTGACTCCAGGACCATAAAATTCAAAATTTTGGAAGAGGCACTCCTGGTCATCATAACTATACACTTGGTTTGTTTGTTTAATACCCAGGAGCAGAGGAGAAGATTTTCAAAGAAATAATTCATTTTCACTATATAATCAATATGGTCCCACCCTAACACCAGAACCCCTGACCCTTGGGCCATGAAACTCAAAATTTTGGAAGAGGCTGCCATGTTCAACATAACTATGCACTTGGTTAGTTTATTTTATACCCAGGAGCAGAAAAGAAGAATTTCAAAGAAATAATGCAATTTTACTACCGGTATATTATCTATTTTGCCCCACCCTAGCACTAGAACCCCTGACCATGGGACCATGAATTTCACAATTTTGGTAGAGGAGTCAATGCCGGCTACAATCATACCAACAGAAGAATTTTAAAGATTGCACTAATTTTAGTGGTTTTGGCCCCACTCCAAGGCCCTGGGGGGGGGGGGGGGGGGGGGGGGGGGCAGGGACCATGAAATTCATAATTTTTGTTCCCCCTCACCCATAGATGCTTTGTGCCAAAATTGGTTAAAATTGGTTAATTGGTTTCAGAGAAGAAGCTGAAAATGTTCAAATGTTAACGCACGACAAATGACAATGGGACAAAATGGATAGCAGTAGGTCACCTGAGTTTACTCAGGTGACCTAAAAATGTGCATACAGTACCGACCGGACACAACCTAACAGAAAGCGAACCCGGAGCGAGCGGGGTCCGTAGGGCTGACCCCGAGCGAACCCGGAGCGCACCCAAAGCGAACCCGTAGCGGACCCCGAGCGAACCCGAAGCGGACCCAGAGAGCAAACCCCAAATTCAGTAGCGGTCCCAGAGAGCGAACGCGGGTTCGGTATTTCTTTACAGAGCTGTCAATCAGGATTAGCGATTAACCAATCAGCTCATCAACCAATCAAAATAGCATACTGATCTGTTGATTGGGATATAAGATCGAACGTGTTGATTTAGTTCGACATAAATCCAAACACTTTACATACAAGTAAAACGTGTGAATGTGCTGTGTTAATCTATTGTGCTAATTAAAATATTATTTAATATTTATTTATCTTAATTCTCCGGGTTGTATTTTATATTTTATATTTATATAATATTTGATTTCATTTTTATTAAAGCAATTAATTAAATAAATTGGGTAAATACATCAGTCAATGCATAAAAATGGAAATCAATTGATATTACAATTTTTACTGACAAAAAGCGGAGAAAAGAAATATAGTTGGTCTTCGACAATTATTGTAAAATTTCATCATCTCAAGTTGAATTGGAAATTTATATAAACACTATTAAATAAAGAAAGAAATCCGAACCGCTATAAAGTATGTCTGGTTTATCGGGGTATACTCAGATGAAGTGCGATTTACATAATTGAATGAATTAATGACGCTAATTAATCACGACATTTAGTAAATCGTACATTGTTTCATTCTCTCAAAATGCGTAACTATACTTGACAAAGAATAATCGGAGAAATATAATATAGAAGGGATATTTTAACATATGAATTATGATCTATTATAAATTTTGAAATGTTTTAGGACTAATTATTGGAAAAAAATAATTAATAAAGGCATTAGCATAGTTATGTGGGTTGTTCGAAAGATGATAACGCAAACTAACTGTAGAGTTACACTAAATTGAAAGAATAATCTTGTTAAGTATCATCAGGAATTGGGTCTAATTCACGTTCATTCTGGTGAAGTCATTCAGTTTGTTAATACCATTAGGGCGGAATGACTTCAATCTGTGTATCCAGAAGGAAGAGTTTTATATACACGCATTTTTTTCATGCCCAAGAAGATTAAGAAGATAAATAATTTTGATGTAAATTTTGAATAATTTAATGTAACACGTACATTGTGAAATCATAAATAAAATAATTAAATAATTAGAAATTTTTAAAGACAATGTGTGTGTGAAATAGGGGGTATATATTATTATTTCCTATCTAGCTTGTAACACGAGCTTTGATTGCATGGTTACAAAGTCAGGTGTAAATATCCGTGCACCCGACTTGAGCCGGGTGTAAATAAAACATGACATCACAATGCATACATTACTCATGTACGTATATAATCAATAGGTTGAGACACGCTCTGATGTTTACAAAGCATTTTTATTGGTACAAAGGAAATTCACAATTTTGGTATCCAGGTCCAGTCAATGGTGCTACAATCATACCAACAGAAGATTTTTAAAGACCCTTGGCCTGCGGCCTCACTGTAATTTAAAACCCGGGTTTTGGCCCCACACCCTTGGCCCTGAACCTGGATAACTAATAATATATTCTTATCGGGTCAGGAGAACAATTATTATTTGCCTTTTTCTTTATTCTGATAAAAATCATTCTCGCTCCAAAATTTTGACCGTGAAAAAGCTCTAATATACAGTGTAATTTTTTTTTTTTAGAAAATGTCCAATAAATATTTATTAAGAACTTTTAATGTGTAACTACTATAAATGAAATCTAAATATATCAGATGTACAAAAGGTTACATGTACATTTAATTTATAGATTCGATATCATAATTCACGTGTTTAGTTAACATTCAAACTACGATTTAGCAAAACGTAAGGAATAACAAATGTATTTTCAAACTATATAAAGCATGAATTTAAAAGGTATTCATTTTAAATTTCTTTCGTCAGTTTCACTTGTGCACCAAACACTGAAAATCAATTTTTATTATTCCTCTTCTTTTAATAACTTAAGAAAAATAAATGCCTTATAACTCGCTGTAATTTTAATTTCTCGGGATAGAGAAATCAAGGAAATCAATTATTCATGTACATGTAAATCTACGTCGAATAAACAGTTTAATTTTAGAAAATTTATGAATGTTCTCCATAATGTCACTGTTTACATATACAGTGTACATGTCCGCATCGTCGCATAAACAACAATGATCGATCCACAATACCATTACTGTATTGGAATATACAAATGTTACTGGCGGTGAGATAAACCAACTTTTAGTGCGTAAAGCGGTCCCAGGAAGCAAATGCCGGGTTCGCTCTAGCGGACCCAGAGCTGACCCCGAGCGAACGCGGAGCGCACCCGGAGCGGTCCCAAAATTTCTGAAAGCGAACCCGAAGCGGACCCCGAGCGAACCCGTGAAGCGAACCCGGGGTCTGCTCCGGGTTCACTCTGGTGTTAGGTTGTGTCCGGTCGGTACTGTACATGTATTTCAAACCATATTAATTTTCTCAATAAAATGACATTTTTATTATTATACACGCTAAACATTTTAAAAGAGAAACCATCGGTAATTTTATGAATGGAAAAGTCATAATAATATCTCCACCATCATATTAATGATTTCTGTACTTCTACATTTTGGGATCTGTCTCAATAATGAATCATTGACATTACATAATGTATACAAAATATTAATTCAAACAGGACACAGTAGAATATTTACATCCACTGAATATTTCCTCCATTATTTCTTAAGAAAACCCATTGCATTAATCAGTGCATGAACTACACTAGGCATGTCACCTGTACAGATTTCTTGATCAGTGGCTGTTCCATCAATGAAACGTAGTACAAAGACGTTCGCATCATTAAATACAATAATTAATCTTTTTAATCCTACTTTAAATGATTATTTAAACAGATATAAATATAAACAATAAAATGTCTTTCTTTGGTTGTTAGTATGGCCCGGATTGTTGCAGAAAAAATTTACATACTGTATACAGGGCTATTTTCGCCCTTTCACACTTGCAACCAATTTTGCCCCATTTTAAATTTGCCCAGTCACCGTTTTCTTGAAGAAAATATATTGTATATTTTGAATTCGCCCCTTTTCAAATTCACCCAAACAATGTAAGGGCGAAAGAGGCGAAAATAAAACGGGGGTGAATATTTCCCTGTATACAGTACCCCGCTTACACGGGTTAAGTATTTTTTCTGCAACAGCTGCGAAATTCATTCCAGTACTAACAACCTAAGAAAGCATTTTATTGTTTAAGTTAAGCCCCTTTATACATGTAGGAAGACCTTATAGGTAGGATTCATACATTTTGACAATTTTTTCATGACTTTAAATTCCTACCTTGCTATTTCATCTCTGAGTTTCTGTTCCAGTCTCTTATATTTCTCTACATCCACTTCTTCATGGGTTTTCACAGAATTCTTTTTTCTCTCCTAATAATCAGTAAGATTAATTTAATTTCCAACCACCTCTCAAATATATATAATTTGATCCAATCCATGCTGATTTTTTTTAATGTGTCGCAATGTTCAATGACCCTGCTTATTTTGAGAAAACTACACAAGATTTTATTATCCTCTTTATTTCATGAAATTTTTTTTATTTACCATATATTGTGATTCAACCCCCCCTCCCCCACAACCCAGTGAGAACACTATTATGTGCCCATTAAAACAAAGTTAAATCTGCATGAGATTGCAGGTCTATAAAAATATTATGAATAATTATGTCTGTGTAGTTTTTGTTTTAAAAAGTTTTTAAAGATTTATTCCTATATATTTTGAAGGTTATTTTTACATCCCCTCTTTGGGGCCTTGTTCGAGGCTCTTGAATTGAAAATATCTGAGTCTCTGATTTCTGAAGATGCTTACACATTTATCTGATTATTCATGGTTCTGCTTATTTCAGAAGAATTTTTAAGACATGTATTCATATGTAAAATTTTGGACTTCAGTCCCCTTGTTTTTGAGTACATGTTTATATAACACTATCCTACAAGTGTTTATTTAACTTTTCTCAATTATCTTCCCTTAAAATAGGACATGAGCTCAAAAGTACATGAATTCCCTTAATACCAAAAAATACTTTGTGCCAAGTTTTGTTTGATAAGGAAGACACAAAAAAGACAAATCTTGGTCAGAAAAGCTCACTTGTGCCTTGAGCATCACATGAGCTAAAAAAAGAAAAACAGGTTTAGGAAAGTCCAGCAGAAAAGAGTAAATACCTTCAACTGAAAATAAGATGTCATGATTTTTTGTGTGGACAATTTACAAGAAAGATTTACAGGACTAAAAGTTAAGGATAATATGTGTGCAGTTTTGATTTGAGGAGCCACTTCTAGTGCCATAACAAGAACCTTTCCCATTGCAAGTAAAAATGTGTCAACCTTGACCATTGGTCAACTCACACTTTTGTGATACTGTGTAAAACTTGGAGCCTGAATTATACAATAAAAAGTATCAAACTGGACCATTATTGAAAATGTTTAATATGTAAAATCATATTTATAAGCTTAAACCTCAATCTTTATCTCAAAATTGATAGGTTCAATAAAAAAAATTTTAACATAAAGGTATCTAAGGATTCAAGCGTATAATACTTTAAGGAATAAGTGGTTGGGATTTTCAAATCACTCCAACATACATGTATCCATGGTATTCGAAATGTCAGTTTTCAAGATACCAAAGTTCAACTGTAGTGATTTGACATAATCTTACATTTCGTTTCCTTATAGCAAGTGTATCCAGCTGCTTTGGCCATTTGGCATAACACTGACTTCTCAAACTAAAGACAACTGATCAATAATTTTCTTGGCATCAACCAGAAATTGCAGGAAAACCCTAACAACTGGCTACAAGCTCTGTATAGTAATATGTTAAGTCCGTATGTCGATATTGATGCAGTTTCCCTTCAACTGCTATAGAGTAAAGTACATATTGTACATGAAGTACACTGTAATGTCAAATTTGAATGGTAAGTATTTATTGACCTGCATTAATTCCTGCTCCAGGAGTTTCTTCTGATCCATCAGTAACTTTAGTTTGCTACTCTCGGATTCCTTCAGGGACCTGGCCTCCTCTTGTCTGGCGTTCTCTGCCTGTAGTCATAGAACATCAAAAATATAAACTCAATCAATAATACACATTAATTAACAAAGATACTCCAACAAAATATTTGGAAACAAGAGGTTATTACTTTCCACTTTTTCAAAAAAGAAATAAATGAACAGAGGAAATGGAATGATTTTTTTCCTGGTACATCTTTATGGGAAAGTTTTTTTTTTCATGTATAAGAAATCAAACTCTTTTTATTGCACTTAATATTTACTAACAATAATTCCTGATTCTAAGAATCTTAAAACCTTTAAAGATATACATAAAAACTGCTCATGTAATAGCATTCATTTGCAAAAAAAATTGTCTTGATAAACATACACTTAAGTTCCTACAAAATGAAGAGATGAAGGAATCTAAGGGCATTAACTCTGTGGGGATGTGTTTTGACACGTATCTGAAATGACTTAACTCCCCTTACCTCCTCCTTGGCTTTTCTGATTTGTTCTTCCATCATCCTCTGCATTTCCTGTTTCTGCTTGGCTAGCTATAGACAATATAAAGATATTTAAACAATCTCCTAAAATTTGTAATTAAACAATTACACATTACATGTATAGTACTTTTCGAGGAAAAGGCAAAAAAAAAAAAAAAAATTGTTAAAGCTATAATTTTTTATTTAAATTTTTCATTCAGGCCATTTCTCATCCCATTAATTAATTAAAGGAAGATCATAATCCAATCAATTACAATAAGAAACTTTTCTTTTACATGTAAAAAGTCTGCTCTCTCATTGTAGTACACAATAATATATACCAAAGGGTCTGACACATCTGTTTCATATTTGGATATTTTACTTGTAAAATTTTCTATTTACTATTTTATGCAGACATAATTTTCATGTTTAATTTTTTTATTATTATTATTTTAAATTTCCACCTTGACTGCAATAAAGTAATTTATTGGAAATGAATCATAATATTGATATTAAGAATCTTTAATTCTTAAATCATACATGTAATTTATTATACAGCTTTGCAGGACTTGAAATGGCAATTAACACAAACAAGCAGTGAATGTCTATATAGTTGAGTTTCTCTTGAAAATAACTTGAATTAAAATGTTCAGTATATGTGGTGCACATTTCTCTCTGATTATTAAATTTGAGAAAAAAATGAATTTGTGTCAATGAAGTGCTTGAGAAGGAAGGGAAAGCTTTAACCGGATAAATCATAAAAATTTAACAACACAATATGTTGATGTTTTAACAGATCAAGGCAAAAGTTGTTTGCAACATGCTTGTGTTAAGGATCATGTTGTTGAATCTGAGTTGAATGTTAGTTTCAGTAATCAACATGCAATTACTTTGACATAGTAAGCTTAGTAAGTGTTAGTTTCTTTTTTGTGAAGAAAAGGTATTTTTTTTTCAAGCACAAAACTAATATGATAATGCTGCAAGGCTGAGAGATAAGTTATATAGGAGTTACATGCTGTTCTCATTATTGCTGAAATGATTAATTTTTTTAAATAGTGTGGAAAATATCACAATTTGTTAACAGTTGTTTCTGGACTATATTTCAGGGAAGCTGTGAGTGCATATTACATGTAATGGTCAGTGTCACATTCTGATTATATATATAAATTAGATCCAAACTTACATCTGAGTTCTGCAATGAACAAATGTCATAAACATATAAATAAAAATAAACAATGCTTGATTTATAACAATAAACTACAAACAATGACCCAACACATTTAACTAAAAGGCAGGGATATAAATGCATGCCTACAATCTATTTCAATTAAGGAACTTCTAGCCGTTGCAGGGCTCCACAAAATATCCTGTAATTACCAGTGCTTTATTCATTATATATATACATTTTTAGTTAAAAATATTTAAACTATTATTTTTTAAAAATGTTAAAATAAGCTATTGTAAAATTTGGTTTATTTCTAAATTGTAAAGATGTCTAAAATGAATCATATATTACAGTGTATTATGACTACTAAAATATTTAATGAAAATAAAAGTCTATATATATATATATTAGATACAGGTTAGGAAAAAATATATATTAAATCACCCAGCAAACATTGGGTTAGATTTAAAGGTTAACATTATTATATATCTATATACTTAGCATTTTAATCAAACTTCGATCCATGTTTGATTGTTATTTCTATGTATTTAATCTGAGTTAATTAAGTGATGTCAGAAATAATTTTTCATACAAGTATATTAAAGAATAAAGAAAACAAAAATATAAGCTAGTAATATAGTACATCAAAATCCTGATCCTAAAAATACAATAAATTCTGTCAATCAATTCTCACTAGACTTGGAATTCCTAAGAAATTCCATTTAAATTACATTGCAACCAAAAAAACTGCACACTTTACCTAGGATTTAATTTTCTTGCAAAACAAACAAACAAAAATGTGAATTCTGAAGGAGTTTGTAAATATAAATATTACCAGAGCCTCAGCCTGTAATAGAAACAATGACAAACATGGTCAACACATGTAAGATTAATGGTAAATAAACAATAATCTTTTATACTGTAGAAGTATTTTTTTCCGCGTGGTATTAATTTACGCTATGTACGCGGTCACAAACTTTCCGCGGAAATTTGTCCAAGCGTACTTAACATAAATATAAGGCATATAGTGACAGTCTAAGAAATCCGCGTAATTTCCTACCCGCGGATTAAAGAGAAATTGAGATTCCGCGGAATTATGACTCCATGGAAAAAAGTACATCTACAGTAGTTATTTGAAATCAATATCGGTCTGAAAAGAAATTAACAAATTAATACATGTTATACATCATACATAGATATACACTTTCCTGAGATCTAACTACAGTAAATATATGATATTGTTTCAATTTCAATTTGTAATTCACAACTATCTTAATCAGTTAATTTATAATTACTGTGCTGCTGCTGATGAGGGGATTTATGTAAAGTATGATAAATTACATTATGATGTCACGGAGATAAGAAATTAAAAGGGTAATTAATTTAATATCAAGGCAGATGTTTTAAAATTTACATGGATTGATAGAATTGAGTGGTACTCTGGACTTGTTAAATTTGAGAGTGGAATTTAGAGGAATGTTAAAAGAAATATATAAAGAGGGGTAAAAAGATAAAGAAAAAGTGATAATATCAGATGGATAACATCAGTCGGGTATATGAATATATATAAATGGGTATACATGTATTGTATAGTATGATTGGGTGGAAATTCATGCAAACCTAAAATCCAAGAGCTGCTTGCAGTTGTTTGAATTAGTTTTCAATAAGTTACTTTCTTATGAAAAATAATGCCAAACCTTGTTTTACCAAAATAAGGTTGATTTTCCTGGCCAAATAATAATTATTATAAAATTAATTTTAAAAAATCTCCTAACAGAAAATTTTTGGGACTGTGAATAAATGATTGATATTGTAACACACAGTAATATACATGCTGAAGTGGGAAATGGACAGTAATTGTGAAGGACATGTTGACATTAATATATATAGTATATTGGGGATAAGTAAAAGGATAGCATAGATAGGTTGTTGTAAAATGTTTGGGAATAGGTAAATAGTGAAATCAAAAAAGGTGACAGTTACCTCCAAGGCCATCTACAAATAGGTCATTTACACAGTTTACATCTATAGGTAAATATCAAGTCAAAAAACAGTTTACATCTATAGGTAAATATCAAAGTCAAAAAACAGTTTACATCTAGAGTAAATATTATGTCAATACACAGTTTACATCTATAGGTAAATATCAAGTCAAAACAAACATTTCTCTTTAAATTTTAAAAATAAGAATATATGCAGTACAGAATATTAAGCAATTATCATTTCAACGAAATCAGGGAAAGATAAAAAAAAAATATGAAGTACCTAATACATACATACAACACAAACAAACTCATAATAATCCACAAAGTTGAACTACTAAGTTAGGAAAATGGTAAAAAGATCTAACCTGAGATTTTGAGGACTGTTTCTCTTTTTCAGCCAGTTTCTTGGTTTCCTCTGCTTCATATTTCAGCTAGAAATAAATAGATATAACTCTACATATTAAATCATATAATTAGGTAGAATAGGTACACTGAATAACACAAATATTATAAAATGTATTGGATTCCAGCTACATTTTATCAATTTGGAACAGCACAAGACACTATTAAGACACAAGTTTTTATTCAAATATATTGTACAGTTAAACTGTATTGCTTATAACATTTTAATTGAATTAAAAGGAAAAAAATAATCCTTAAAAAAAGCTGGTGTATTACATTTATAATCTAAAAATGAACAATTGATAAGTGACTGAATTGCCACTGAAATGTACCTGTCAATCAGTTAACTTCATGGCCACTGACTGAAAGACTCAGATCAGTGGTTATTCAGTGATCATTGCATTGAACAGAAAATGTTTTATCAGTTTGTCTCTGCATAGGGAGTCTTGGAATTTTTAGAAAATAGTTTCAGAAAAGAAAACAGCATCTTCGCGTCCCCCATTAAGTAATCAAAAATGAGGAGACAGGTTGTTTACACTTATGATCTATAATACATACCTGATCCACCATGATTCTTTCCTTCTCTAAATTGGTATTTAACTGATTGATTTGCTCCACTGCAATGATAAATAATATTTGTGATTTATTATTTAAATTCAAATATAAGTTTAATGTGATTTTGAAGAACAAGTTTTGTTTATACTGATCTGCTAACTAAAAGATGTACATTCAAATTGCAATATTTTGTTAATAATAGGTTTTCCAATCAAAATTTAATTTTTAATATGTGCGTATATTTCCAGCAGACCTTGCAGGGCAGAATTGACAGACAGGACCTTTTATCCCAATGCATTTAATCCAAGTAAGAGTCATTTCCCTTACCTGAAGGTCTATGAACCTTAAGATAATCTGTCCTGATTTTTTTTTGTAAGAAAACAATATCAATATACGTAACTTGATCTGAATCTCTTACATATGACATACTGAGATTGAGGTTCTCCTTTTCCTTTCCATAACTTACTGAGACTGACATTCTCGTTTTCCTTTCTATAACCTACCCAGATTGACGTTCTCGTTTTCCTTTCTATAACCTACTGAGATTGACATTCTCGTTTTCCTTTCTATAACCTACCCAGATTGACATTCTCGTTTTCCTTTCTATAACCTACTGAGATTGACATTCTTGTTCTCCTTTCTATAACCTACCTAGATTGACATTCTCGTTTTCCTTTCTATAACCTACCTAGATTGACGTTCTCGTTTTCCTTTCTATAACCTACCTAGATTGACATTCTCGTTTTCCTTTCTATAACCTACCTAGATTGACGTTCTCATTTTCCTTTATATCCAGAGCCTCCTCCAGACGATCCACTCTCTTATGTAGACCGTCACACTCCTCCTTAAGGGCCTCAAACTCCTCATTAACACTGGGCGACTTAGACTTCACAGACAGCTCCTCAACCTGTCAACACAACGATACTGTAAACTCACGTACAAAGTATTACTACATTCTGTCCTAAAGCACACTGATCATATTGCAAAATCACAGCTGTTATAATTTTTACTTTTCAGAAATTTGTTTGATTCAGCTACTTAAAAGCTTTTTATTACTGTAACAATAAATGTTAAAATCATTAAAATATTCATATAAATAAAATCTACATAAGCTTTATGAAACTGAACAAAAAAAAAATTCCCTGCTCCCTAACACACACCTAAATCAACAGTGAACTTCACAGCAAATCTACATGTATAACTCTCAGACTGATACAGAAATTAAGCTAAGCTACATATAAATAGTTATACAATCAGCATTTTACATACTTGTACTGGTGGACAAATCATTCAAATGACACACTGAATCTATATACATACAGCAGAAACACATGGCTACTGCACAAAATAATTTATCATTTATAAATAGAATTTGACTTTCCCTTTACCGAGTGCTTCAGTGGTGCCCGAATGAAATTTAAATTTACTTGTTCAGAAAGTTGAAATTGAAATGTTTGGGTTCCTTTAGTACTTAGAGTGACTGCTTTCATCTCTGTTTTAAAATTGTCTTGCTGAAAATTATAAACCATTCAAACGGAATCAGAATAAAATATTGACTGAAACTTCTAAATCAGTCAGTTCTTTCATCATGGTTATCAGGACCATATATGCATATAATGTTGCAGATACATGTAGTCTACTATTTAGTGCTTTCAATTTTAAGTAGACCAAACATTCCATTCAACTGGGGAAGTATGGCTGAAATATTGCTGACTCAGCATTGAACAAAATACAGTCAATCAATCAATCACTAGGGAAGAAACTTAATTGTCCATCAAAAATGCCTGGAAACTATACATATTAATTGCTAAAATTAATCACAGAACAATCTAGGTTTATATTATATACCATACTAATATTAAGATTTTAATTTGAATCTGTAAAATTAAAAGGTAAAATATAATAAGATTTTTTTTAAATTGGAGAATCAAACAAACATGTCAGCGACATCTACTAAATATTGTTAGGAAGCTGGACGAAATACATATATTTAGAGCATACATTTACATCAAACTAATGAATATAGGACAATTAATGCACAAGTATTTAACATTTCAGTTACTGGACATGATTTGACACAATATTACATTGTTGTTAAATTTGTCACAGTCAGTCACGGAGAATATACTGTTATTATCACACAGTACACGTACCACCGGGGGCATCTTGTTGGCTGGTTTGGGGGGTGGCTTGGAAGGTTGGGCAGGAGGAGGGGGAGGGGGTGGGGAGGGGGATTTAGGTTTGGGGGGAGGGGGTTCTTTTGGGGGGGATGACTCCTTCTTTTTCTTCTTTTCCTGTATCATCAGAATTAGTAAAGTGAGAGAAGAAATACAAAGTGATGTAAATGGGTCATTTTAGACATGAAAAGACAGCATTTCTGACAAACACATATCAAAGTATTTTAATTATGCTTGCAGACATGCAGAGAAAAGATTATAGAAATGCGTTCATTAAAAAAAAAGGGAGAAGAATTGTGTTTAAAAATTATTTTAAAAAATGGATGAACATTAAAAAGTCATTTATAACTGCTAGTAAGGGCACAGCTAGCATACTGATGCTGAATTTGTTTATAAAGTATTACATGCATGTATATAGACAGAGATATTTACATCAAATATTATGAAAAAGACATTATATTAATTTATATGGGTTACATGAATATCTGTCTTATGAAACATCATTAATTACAACAAAGAGATGTGGCAAGTCGAAGAAAATATACATTCAGTATTTCATGCAAATATGCACATTTTCAGGTTATGTGAGCATGAATGTACACAACATTGTCTGGAAAGTATAGAAGTGTACACTGAATTAGTTAGAAGTATTGTTAATCCACCCTCAACGTAATAAATTACCAGTGATGGGACAGGGGAGGCAGCTGTTGTGTTGGACGGCCGATCAGAGGAAATATCCGGCTAAAATAAAGCAGTACGATACACAAACTGGCTCACCTTAACAAAGCATAGAATGGCTGTATGTCAGCTTTCTCAAATGAGCAAGAAGAATGCTTGACTATTGAAATTTTGTAAAATAATTAAAATAAAAGGCAAAATTATAGTGAAACACATTTAATATAGAGTGTTTTTTTCTGTTTTATAAACAAGAATTCTGAATATTGATTAATGAGAATTATACGTTCTTTATTATCTTTAAATTAAATTTATATAAACTTTAAATAGAATTACCTATTGTATATTTTCTTTTCAAATGCATAACATGCATGTAAACAATTGATCTAGCAAACTATGAAAAAAACTTATTGCAGTAGCATGAAAGCTCTCTACTTATGTCCTACATGTAAGTGTAGGTGCTGAAAGCTCTATTATTGAAGCATATAAATTGCTCTATAGTGAATCTTTTTAACTGAGTTAACAGAATCTAAAATATATTTTTTTAAATCTTCGAAGGAAAATTCTTTTAATCGTGTAAACTTTCCTAAGATAAACTTGATCCAAAATATAATTGTGCAAGACTTGCAAATAATTTTAAACTAAAATTACTGAATTATCTTTTACAAATGATATTTTTTATTTCATATGTAAAACATGTGTAAGAATCAAAATATCACTAAATGATATTTTGTGAAAATTAAGTCAAGTAAAATACTATAGATAATAATAAACAAACAAAAAATAAAATCCTGTCATGAACTGTACGTAACTTTATTGAAAATTTGAATAAAAAAAATTGCAAAACGATTTTGCCTAAACCAACTGTAGACAAACTGTAGATGGTTAAATGAGTTATCTGTACACTATACTCACACTTTCGACTTCGCTGTTGCGCCTTTGTTGGAACTGAGCCAGCTGCATCTTCAGCATCTGTATGACTGTCTCATTCCGCTGAATGGTGGCCTGCATCTCTTTATATTTCTCATCGTGTTTGCCCTGCCCCTCTTCCTGCTTTTTTCTCTCTTTCTTCATCTTTGACTCCAAGTTTTTCTGTGTTAGAAAATAAATTTCATCAAAATTTCCTGGAAATGCATGGTTTATTTGACTTGAGGGAGATTTCATTTTAGGAGGTTGTTTGATTTTACGTTGTACAGAACAGCGACTCTGGCTATGGCATCTGACAACTGCTGTCTGAAGGCTCTTCTCACAGTGGACACTCTCTGAAACAGACCAGATTTCTCAATTATTACAGGCAAAGACTACAATCTTTTAAAAAAGTTTAGTCCCAAATGAAAATCTAGTACAAGTACATGATGTACTGATCTAATTTTACTCACGTCTTCATGAATTCTCTCCAGTTCTTTCACTTTCTCATTTATTCTTACATATCTTTAAGTAAAGAAATATAATCCATAATAATATATATGCAAACACAATTGGTAAAGTAGATTTTTTATTATAAACAGTACGTATATGTTCTTGAAAATAATACAATGATGAAGATGTTGGATTCTTTTTTTTTTATTAAAACTTTCAAAGATAACTAGAGTGGCTGTAATTTTTTACACAATATTTTGCTAAGTTGTGATTATAGTCAGTTTGGTACCCTCTTTAAGAGCACCCTATTTATTATACACACTTACAATTCTAAGCTTTTTTCCTGCAGTTTTTTCTCATAGTCAGCCTGCATAACATGCTTAGTCAGATTGATGTCCCGACGAAGATTTGTCACATCCTAAAAGAGATAACACTGGTTATTAATTTAACTACTATCTGACTTAAAATTAATATATTTATGTACTAACATTACATGTAACTAAGGGACCTTGGTCTTCTCTTCGTGACATGTACATTACCTGTAGGACCTCAGTCACCTCTTTATGATATTATACCTACAGTAAGATCTGTAGGACCTCTGTCATCTCTTTGTGACATTACCTTTAGGACCTCAGTCATCTCTTTGTGACATTACCTGTAGGACCTCAGTCATCTCTTTGTGACATTACCTAGGATTTATGTCACCTCTTTGTAACATTACCTGTAGGACCTCAGTCATCTCTTTGTGACATTACCTGTAGGACCTCAGTCAACTCTTTGTGACATTATACCTGCAGTAAAATCTGTAGGACCTCTGTCATCTCTTTGTGACATTACCTGTAGGACCTCTATCATCTCTTTGTGACATTACCTGTAGGACCTCAGTCATCTCTTTGTGACATTACCTGTAGGATCTCAGTCACCTCTTTGTGACATTACCTGTAGGACCTCAGTCATCTCTTTGTGACATTACCTGTAGGACCTCAGTCATCTCTTTGTGACATTACCTGTAGGACCTCAGTCAACTCTTTGTGACATTATACCTGCAGTAAGATCTGTAGGACCTCTGTCATCTCTTTGTGACATTACCTGTAGGATCTCAGTCACCTCTTTGAGACATTACCTGTAGGACCTTAGTCATCTCTTTGTGACATTACCTGTAGGACCTCAGTCATCTCTTTGTGACATTATACCTGCAGTAAGATCTGTAGGACCTCTGTCATCTCTTTGTGACATTACCTGTAGGACCTCTATCATCTCTTTGTGACATTAACTGTAGGACATCAGTCATTTCTCTGTGACATTACCTGTAGGACTTTGGTCATTTCTCTGTGACATTACTGTAGGACTTTGGTCATCTCCTTGTGACATTGCCTGTAGGACTTTAGGTCATTTCTCTGTGACATTACCTGTAGGACTTTAGGTCATCTCCTTGTGACATTACCTGTAGAACCTCAGTCACCTCTTTATGATATTATACCTGCAGTAAGATCTGTAGGACCTCTGTCAACTCCTTGTGACATTACCTGTAGGACCTCAGTCATCTCTTTGTGACATTACCTGTAGGACCTCAGTCATCTCTTTGTGACATTACCTGTAGGACCTCAGTCAACTTTTTGTGACATTACCTGTAGGACCTCAGTCATCTCTTTGTGACATTACCTGTAGGACCTCTGTCAACTCTTTGTGACATTACCTGTAGGACCTCTGTCAAATGCTTGCTGAATCTTTGTGACATTACCTGTAGGATCTCAGTCACCTCTTTGTGACATTACCTGTAGGATCTCAGTCACCTCTTTGTGACATTACCTGTAGGACCTCAGTCATCTCTTTGTGACATTACCTGTAGGACCTCAGTCATCTCTTTGTGACATTACCTGTAGGACCTCAGTCATCTCTTTGTGACATGACCTGTAGGACCTCTGTCAACTCTTTGTGACATTACCTGTAGGACCTCAGTCATCTCTTTGTGACATTACCTGTAGGACCTCTGTCATCTCTTTGTGACATTACCTGTAGGATTCTTAGTCACCTCTTTGTGACATTACCTGTAGGACCTCTGTCATCTCTTTGTGACATTACCTGTTGGACCTCAGTCATCTCTTTGTGACATTACCTGTAGGACCTCAGTCAACTCTTTGTGACATTATACCTGCAGTAAGATCTGTAGGACCTCTATCATCTCTTTGTGACATTACCTGTAGGACCTCAGTCATCTCTTTGTGACATTACCTGTAGGACCTCTGTCAACTCTTTGTGACATCACCTGTAGGACCTCAGTCATCTCTTTGAGACATTACCTGTAGGACCTCTGTCATCTCTTTGTGACATTACCTGTAGGATCTCAGTCACCTCTTTGTGACATTACCTGTAGGATCTCAGTCACCTCTTTGTGACATTACCTGTAGGACCTCTTCTGTGACATTACCTGTAGGACCTCAGTCATCTCTTTGTGACATTACCTGTAGGACCTCAGTCAACTCTTTGTGACATTATACCTGCAGTAAGATCTGTAGGACCTCTGTCATCTCTTTGTGACATTACCTGTAGGACCTCAGTCATCTCTTTGTGACATTACCTGTAGGACCTCAGTCATCTCTTTGTGACATTACCTGTAGGACCTCAGTCATCTCTTTGTGACATTACCTGTAGGATCTCAGTCACCTCTTTGTGACATTACCTGTAGGATCTCAGTCACCTCTTTGAGACATTACCTGTAGGACCTCAGTCATCTCTTTGTGACATTATCTGTAGGACCTCAGTCATCTCTTTGTGACATTACCTGTAGGACCTCAGTCATCTCTTTGTGACATTATACCTGCAGTAAGATCTGTAGGACCTCTGTCATCTCTTTGAGGTCCACAACCTCTGTGACTTCTGTCTGAGAACATCTGTCCAAAGTGAAGAAGCCCACCTTGTGCTGATCAGCAATGTTTGGCCTAAAGGAAAAAAGTGCTATCTATTAATAGGCTTATTTTACACAAGAAACCTTCACAGATTTTGTTTTTAATAGTTCATACATTATACTGAGAACACATTGTCAGAAATTCATGGCCAATCTCACACACACGTACTATTATTGATAAGCATATGCGAGATTATATCTATGGGTTTGAGAAACATAGAATGCTTATAAGGAATGACAGCTGAAATGACTATATGCAAAATAAAACAGTTTAGACAAATCTACTGTAAAATCAAATATTTTTGTGGGGTCAAATTTTCAAGGTTTGGGGAAAAATATTGGTTTGTGGGGATTTGATTTCATGGTTGGGAACATTTTTAGTAGTAATGCTGATGAAATTTTCCATTTTGTAGAGGTCATAAATTCATGGGTATCTCCACACCTCGAAAACAATGAAATTAACCCCCCACGAAAATAAGTGATTTCAAAGAAACTTAAGTCTACATAACTAATAAACTAGTCATCATCTGAAGGATAATTAAGATAGTGTAACCTGTACATAAACAAAATATGATATATTTTCTAGATCCACTTACAAATATTAACACCAAGAGGATCAGAAAAATAACATTACACAGGCAAGGAACAGAAAAATATTAAGTGATAGCTGCCATACTGATACTATAATGATGTTTAGTTATTTCAAATAAAATATTCCTGCTTTTTTATACGTCTTAAACTTAAGTCTCATACTTTAAAGAGGGATGATAAATGAGAAACCATGGTGACATTTATAAAACATCCAAATATAGTAATGACCCAGTACAATATACTGGGCCTGGTTTTATCAATAAAAAATCGTACTGAGATTCAGTTTCCTCCACTGCACACTCATCTTCATCAAAAGAACCTTTATAAATGCCTGCTTGAATTCCTAATGTCCTATATTTAGGAACAGCTTCGAGATATCGCAGCATTATGTCAAGTATTCATCTATTTTTGACGTCACTTGCCTGCGAACAGGTTCTCGTGCGCTTTCCCAAAATTTGTTCAGTGAAGAGGAAATTCGAAATGCATAAACATAAATACTAAGTCGTCAGCATGTTTATTCAGCCCTTACAGGAAATAAAACAATTAAAACATTTAAAAAAATCATAGGACTGATTCAGACTTCTAAGTCCATTTTTTAAATGTTCAGTTGAACCCAATTATTACCAAGAAAACTGTCAACAAGATGTGCGATGGAAGAGATGAGCCCCAAACAGGTGCCCGTTAATAATCGTGATAAAAGCTTATCTCTCCCATTTATCATCAAAATGCGACTTTCTTACCTGAATAAATCAACTTCATGTTCTCTAGTACCATAGATGTCCAGTACATGATCTTGCAATTCTGCTTCTGATCTATTAAATTCTAGCGCTGGGTCGAAGCGCGATGCAACGACCGCCATTTTGTTGCTAATCAACAGTCTCAAAGAGGAACAACTCCGACGAACGTTTTTATGATTTGGCTTCGGCCTAATATACGTGAGATATTTTTAAATGGTTCTGCCTTCTGGTGCAACTTCGATACTGCATTATTTTATGACATAAGTATTTTTCAGTTGTTAGAAAAAATATCTTTTCATAACCAAACGTAAAATGAGTACAAACTGGAGAGTTATTGTGTTGGGGATGGGGGGGGGGGGGTAATTGTCGCTGCAGAACTATATATATAGCGTTAATTATCAGTAAAATATTAACTGTGGTTATTTTTTGCCCCCGTAATCGAAGAGTTTGGGGTATATAGCTTTTGCCCTGTCCGTCTGTCTGTTTGTCAGTCTGCTCGTCTGTAAAAACTTCAAGTTAACCTTCAAGTTGTTCATAACTTTTGAGCGGGTGGGGCCAGGGAGCTGACCTATGTTTTTCCCGCTAAAAAGTCGTAGTCGTCAAGTTGAAAAATAAGGACTATTTCAGGAAAAAAAATCTAATTAAGTATAAGCCAATTATGATGGCATGTCTATTTATTTATTTATAGGCCTATAATACATGTATATAGGCGCATACCTAAACACGACCTCTTACCCCACCATCATCATGTATGATTTTAAAAAGGGGGTTGTATTTTCTTTGGTGTATTTACAATTTATTTAAAGGAGATGAGGGCATCGTCTCAAGCCAAGGTCCGGAGTCCGTGCCCCTCTAAAGTTAATTCCTTCAAACGTTCAAAATTATGTTCATATTTTTTTGTATCATGCGTATGTGTCTCTCATACGCGAATATATACTGAAAACAATTGAAAGAAATAAAGGACAAGATTCCGTTTTTTTATATCCCATATCAAGTTTAAAGATTTTAAAAAAGGATATACAATGTAAATAACACAAACAATTTTGATTCCAAATTTAAGTTCAAATACTAGTATACCTTTGCTTGAAAAATTGTCTCTCATTCTCTAAAGAAATGGTATCTACATGTTTCTAAAAAGGCCAAGCCAGTTAGCCACAAACTTTGACGAAAAATGAGAATTTATGTTACTTTGCAGTTCAATCAATTTTTTGAAACATTCTAGAAATATACCGGCGTGCTTTTTTGTTACCGTAAACTTACTGGAAACATTTTCAAGAGTATTTTCACACACATTCCTATAGCTCAGTTTATTCTACACTTGTCTTGCACTAGTTTACCTCATAACATGTAACTGTAGCCACTGCCTTTGTATACCTACTGGTTATAATGACGAACATTCAAGCTAATTTATATACTTCAAGTTTGGCGAGATTTATGTTTCGATTCAGAACTAAATAACCAACAATTTATCTTATTTCTCCGATCTTAATATGATTATTCCGCAGCAATTATTTACATGACTTTGTACATGTGTGCATATATAGATAGGGATTGGTAAATTAAAATTATTATACTGACATATTAAGGATTGCTACATAACTATTGGGAAATAGAGCTTCTTAAAACATAGGCATTGGAACCGGGGGAGCTAGGGGCAGCCCCCCCCCCTCACTTTTTTTTGCAAAGATAGACATTTTCTATGCATTGAAAATTGGAGTTTACCTTTTTTTTGTTGGTTTAGCCCCCCTTTCAGTTAGCGCCCCCCTTTCAATTTGCTTCCGACGCCTATGCAAAACATTTAACCACTATCAATCGATGAAGTTTGATGACATCATATTACATATATATATAAACTTCACTTTTAATTAAAATGTATTTTTGTCGACCCCCACCCCCGACCACTTTTATATTTAATGACGCCTTTTAAATGATAATCATACATGTAAATCCATCTTTCAGTGGAATCTATGTGGACCTTTAAAACATCTGCCGTAATAAATATTACAAATTTTATAGAGAGCAGGAGAGGTGTTTTATCACCAGACCTCTGTATTCGACATTCCTTACAGATTACGCGCCACTGAACGCGCCCATTCACTAAGACTGTGTAAGTCAATACGCAAACCAATCTTCCCTAGTGTGAAGCCAACATCTCTCTGAAAAGGTCTGACAGACGAAACAAAATGTCAAAAGTCGACGAAACCAGAAAATTTTGGTCCGATAAGTTTGACGAGTTTGATTCTTCTGGAAATGGTCAGTTGACGATAGTGGAACTCAGGGATGCTCTTAAAGGAATGGGCGCCAACCTCTCCGACGCCGAAATCGCTGTAAGTTTTACATAGTTTGTTGTACATGCATCCAAATTAATTATTATTTATGAATATTTAATATTAGAAGATTAATATAAATGGTAAAAGAATACATTCAAATTTGCTGAATTTGGTAATATTGTCAGCGACCTTCTTTGCATGGTTAATTCAATCTTGTATACTGCATGATGTACAGGCTAAATCCTTAATTTTGTCACGTGTTTAATTCCTCTGTGCAGCGGTGTACAGCCGACAATATAATTTTCCCTAATTCCATTATTGCTATTTAGTCTGGAGGGGGAGGGATATGCATATGTAAATCAATAATTCCAGACTTGGTTTTAGAGGAATTTATGCATCGTCCACCGTCTGGATGATTGAGGTTAAACAGTTAAGGCTAGAAAATCGATCTAACTGACCAAGATCCCCTTGTTTAATGTGTGTATACTAGAACTATTACACACTCTATTTGGTATTCATAGCTCAGCCAATTTTCATCAATTTTGAAAAGTATAAAGAAATACTGGTTGATGACTACATATGTCGAATGTCAAATAAAGCTTGCCTATATATACTTCGAGTAGAGAATTATATATTGTGTTTAGTTTCTATGGGTGTGTCCGCTGGCCTTGTCAAACTTTATAGGATTATGGATTCACCTGTACGCATGTGTCCTAGGTGTCGTTCCCACGATATACTCATTCATAAGCCAACTGGGTTAATCTTTCACGCTGTGTAACTTTTAATTATGTAAACTTAGTTGTAAAGTTAAGTTTTCTTGATGGAAAGATCGAGTTAAGATTCAAATTAAATTCTCCCGAAATATATTGAAAATTCTGACAAGTTTCAGACGTGCCCCGAAAACAGGTTTTCACCTCATAAATATTTATTGGCTAAACAACTATTTTTGCCTCCGGTATGAAACCTTTAAGGCAATGATATACCTTTATCATATTTTTCAAATTTTGACATACACAAAACGAGGTCATAATTTTTTTGTGGGCGGATCAAAGCCCATTTGTTTGATGTAATAATTACTTCAACTGTTCCCAACCAAGAAAATGTCACACATGACTGATTATAATAGCACTATTGTTGCATTAAGACTGATTAATCAAGTTGTCCCAGTTAGACCTAAATAATGCGCATGCATTGCGAGACAAAATACCAACACCGGAATTTGCGTGTTATAGAGACAAAAATCCGTTTCATCACGAACAGATAAATTGTCCTTTAAATCCTAAATTTCACTTGAAAAAACTTGAAAGTTCACAGTGGCGGATTTAAGGGGGGGCGCACCCGGCGCGCGCCCCCCTAAAATTTTCAAAGTTAGCGTAAATCAAATATGTTTACTTGGTAGACCTCATTTTCACCCTTCAAAATCTCTAAAAATGTTGCCCCCTGGGCACCCACAGGGCTTTGGTAAACCTCATTTTAACCCTTCAAAATTTTAAAATCCACTATTGTTGCATTACCAGGACTTTGCCCTGGACCCACTGGGGGCCTCAAGGCGGCCCCCAGACCCCTTGCCTAATTTTGGCGCCCCCCCTAACTCCAAAACCTGGATCCGCGCCTGGTTCAGGCAATAATCTGTGAAAAAGGAGCGTTTTATATCGTGGCCATAAAATCGATTTGTGGTGAAGAGTTTAGCAAATGAGGGTCACCTGCAGCTAGGTGACTAATTTAGGGACAGTGCGAGTCTTCCTTACCTGACAGACGACAAACAACGACCGACTGATTATTCTCATCTTTTATCTGTGATCATCAAGTCTCACATGCCAAAATGTAGTATTTAAAAGTAAAATTTTAAATCAAACTGTTTTTACACCTCTTTTTGTAAATTAATAAATAGGAAAAAACAACAGTAGCAACAAGAACAACAAAAACCAAACCAAAACAAAATGTGTTTGTGAAACACTGATGTCCTCGTATGGCAACGTAGAGAAGGTTTGAACTTTCTTAAATGCAAATCAAATATGTCGGTACCCAAAGTAAAGCATTCTCACAAGAAATACAATTGTGAAATATGACACTCCAAGCATCATCTGTTCAAAACTTATGGCCAAGGTTAACATGTTTTAAAATTAGTTCAAACTCCTAGGTCAAGGTCAAAGGGTCAAAGTTATTGGTTTCTAAAGAAAGGTCTTGTCGCAAGGATTACATATTTGAAGTCTGAAAGACCTAGCTTTAAACGTTTTATAAAAAAGTTAAATTATGGCCAAAGTTAAATTTTTATTATATTCTCCCTCACTTCGTTCGTCCGAATATAAATTAATTATACTCTTTATTCTGTACTTATAAATAATAGTGAAAGAATAACCAACTCATATATATGGAATGCTGCTCGTCAGAAGGTAATGCTGCTCGTCAGAACGTTTATTATAACACATTTGTCTTCCAATTCAACATGCATTATTTGTAATAATTATATAATATATATACACATATATGTGTGTGTCTAATTTACTGGTTTCCATTCCTTACACGTTCTGTACGAGCGGTAGAGTAACTTTTTAAGCACGCACCTGCTATTTATATGACCATGTCACGTGACATAAAAACCACACACATCCACCACTCTGTCCACACAGGAAATACCCATAACGACAATAATAATAAAAAAAAAGGTAGGTTAAACTTTTTGGTCAAGGTCAAAGAGTCAAAGTCGTTGATATCCTAGGAAAGATTTTGTCTCAAGGATTACATATATATATATATGTGAAGTATGAAAGCCCTAGCCCTGAACGTTAAAAAGTTATGGGCAAGATTAATTTGTTAAAGTAGGTCAATCTACCAAGGTCAAGGTCAAAGGGTAAAAAAATGTTGGAATCTAATGGAATATCTTGTCACACACAAAGCTTCCATAATTTCCGAACTTAGTCCTGCTTTCTATATTAAAGACATTGTAGTACTGTAAAAGTGGTTATTTACGCGTGGGGGAAATTTACACTACTTACGCGGTAAGCTAAAAACCGCGTAAAATACCCCCGCGCGTATGGTCACAAAATTTCAATCTTCTGGAATAATTCTAGATTATTACTTATACTGTTAGACAGGTTGAGCCAGTCGTATATTTATCGTGGTATTGAATGCACGTGAATAGATGAATATATCACAAACTGTGATGAAAACGTAACTGTTTATAATGTTACTTGTGCAATGAAAAAGCATCTTCATATGAAATATTTTAAAGCATCGTCACGCAATTAAAGCTTCATAACATCAATACTCGTATTCATTTCCTTTGTGTATTCGTTTATACCTTTCTTAATTTCAAATGATAAGTCCAGAATGTTAAATAAACTCACAGTCACTACAATCATACCTATTTTAAAAATTAATTGTCAAAACTTGACACGCAGATACAGGTAAGTAGATTTCACTTTGAAGTTCTTGCTTGCGTTGATAATTACAATAAAGCGAAAACCTGTTGTTCACACTTCACCGCATTTGACAGTACACATTGACGTTTTATTTACCAATCCAACAGTAAAAACAGTATCAATTCCTACTGATTTGTATAGTTTGTTTATAATTATTTCAAATTTTTTTATCAATTTCAAAGGGGAACAACCCGATGTTAGTTACAATATGCCGCGTAAATTTTTCTTGGGAACTCCTGCGACCGTGTATATTATACCCACGCGTAATGTTTGACAGTCACAAACGCGTACTTAACAACCAGTGTAAATAACCACTTTTACAGTAAACGCGAAATATTGCAAGGGGAGGAAGGAGGGAAGGGGGTTCCTTGTCCATCAAGATAATCTATAGTACAACTGAACGGAACCATATTCGTTTTCTTCCCTACGTAGTTATGACGAAAATCCTCTACTGGATGTTAATTTTTGAAATAAGAAAGCGAATGACAATCGATTTTGTATGTATTACATCTGTTCATTCTATACAATATGAAAAGTCCATGAAAACTTGTTATATACAATTCATGATCATAACTTACACATGTAATTAAATAAATTGCTTTTACTTTTGTAGAGCATTAAGATTGTTATACTTCATTTAAAGCTAATTAGATATATCTTCCCTTTTGTAGAGTATGTTCAGTGATATTGACGCAGATGAAAGCAAAAGCATCTCTAAGGACGAGTTCATTAGACAGATGACAAAGAAAAACAGACAGTATATATATATATATCATTCCTTACTCAGCAGCAGTAACTTTACTAGGAAGAAATATTATATTAAAATCATTCAAATCAATCATGATTAAAAAAAGTATCATAAGTGCCTAAAAGCGGCTTATATTTGAGCAAAATATTTCAAAAATATTAATTTGGAACTTGTATTGCAGGGATGCCTTCAAGGAATTTTTTGCTGAAAATGACACTGATGGTTCAGGATCGTTGACTGCCGATGAGATCCGAAAGTTTGCCGACAAAGACTCTGGAGCATCAGTAGAAGATATCCTTAAACAATGTGACGTCAATTCCGACGGCAAAATCACCTTAGACGAATTTCTGGCTAGAATTGATGGGTAGATTTCCGGTTTTCTATCCCTGCAGCCCATTCTTTCTTTTCTCTGAAGAACAGACCGGAAGAGACCTGTGACATGCTCCTTAACTGAAGCGAACCATACATGCATATTCATGTATACTAGCACCATATTATCCTGCTTTCTACTTACAACAAACTCACTTCAGGCAGTGTATTATGACCCCAAACCTCTGCCGATGTACCTATGTCAAGTACAACTGTGTCTGTAACTACATGTATATATTTACTAAATAATTATATTTAACCAAAATTTAATCCTTAAACTTTTTTTGAAATTATCAATTTTCACTAAAAGCTAAGTCTGCCGATTATTCAAAACACAACAGAGACTTTTACAGATACATTTAACAACCATTGTCTCAAAGTAGGAAATAACTGATCACCAGAACGTACAAGTAAAGGGAGAAATTGTCTTGAGTGCACTGTATACAATATTTTGTAGTCTTTTCTAACAAAAGCATTCTGTTTGTAAATTTCAAATGTTTAATAAATTATAAAGTTTCTTTTTCAGTTTTGTTAGTAATTTTTCTTTCGCGGTAGTTTTTTTTGGCTTTAAAAAAAGTCCAGATATTGACAATAAATTATTGAATGAATAATGTTGATCCACAATTTGACTTGGATTAAAAAATTCTTAAATCAAATTAGATAATCAAGACCAAGGCATGTTTATTTTCCAGATTAAAAGTAAACAATGCTTATTTGAATTATTTGAAACATACTTTAATTAAATGATCAGAGTATTTAAAAGAGTATTAAGAGTAACGAGAAATAAAACTAAGAGTTCTCCTAAATGTAGAGAAATCCTGATCATCCATTGACATAAAATATTCGGAATCTGTTCAAACAGGTTCCGCGTTTGAACAGAAAAGAAGTAATGTTATTCAACGAATGAAAAAAGGACATAAAACAAGAAAAGAAAGGCAAACATGTAGAATTAGCTTGGGAAAGGAAAGTTTATACTGGTAGTGTCGTGGAGAAGGATACGTGACTGTTTTTAAAACGCATGTCCTTTGTGTGAGGAATCAAAACAGCTACATATGTAGAAGCGGGAAACAAAGAACTTACCACAGAAAGTACTCATTTGTATTGATATTAAAAAGAAAATTTCCTGCTCTGCAAAGCACTAAACTGATAGGCAAAAATCAGATATTATTGTCTTACAATGTTGGAAACTAAAGCAAGACAAGATCGCCGTCTTTCTTTTCCATCAATGGTACATTTTGCACGATATATGGTTGATACAATATTAATAACCTTGTCTATAGCAAGCCCCTTTACTATTTATTCGTGAAATATAAAAAAATCTTTCAATAAGAGAGATATCTCTCTAGCATGGAGAGATATCTATTTAGCTTATAGAGATATCTCTTTGACTAATAATATAACTTTATACGTTAGAGAGATATCTCTACACAAAAGAGATGTCTCTTTTTGTAAGAGAGATAATTCTTTTACTTAGAAAGATATCTTTATAAGCTAGAGAGATATCTTTATAAGCTATATATCTTATTATCAAATGAGAGATATATATATATATATATATATATATATATATATATATATATATATATATATATATATATATATCTTATTATTAAATGATCAATCAGAGACCAATCAGAGAGATTCCTGATCATTTAATAATATAAAATTATTGACCCTTAACAAGGACAAAAGAAATATCTTTCTTTGTACCAGGTCCGTATAGTCAGATATATCAAAAGTCTAATTGTATAAAGTTAGAGAGATATCTCCTTAACAAGGTCAGAGATATCTTTCTAAAGCATGTATCTCTTTAAAAGATATCTCTTTTTATCCCTTTTAACGAAAGAGATATCTATTTTCCAGTGATCAGTCTTTTTCTTATAACAGCAAAATTATCCCAGATACTTTACTTCCTGTTTAGCACTATTTTGTTTAAGGATCACTGCAAAAGAGATATCTCTTTAGTTTAAAAAGATACCTCTTTTTGAGAATCTAAAGATTTCTCTCTTACTAAGAAAGATATCTCTTTTAACCTTGTTAAAGAGATATCTCTTTAACTTTAAGAGATATCTCTCACGCTTACAAAGATATCTCTCTTGCTTGAAGAGATATCTCTCTAGCTTATAAAGATAGCTCTCTAAGTAAAAGAGTTATAAATTTTTCAAAAAAAAAGATATCTCTCTAAAATATAAAGATATCTCTATTACTCAAAAAGAAATCTCTATAAGCTAAAGAAATATCTCTCTATGGTAGAGAGATATCTCTTTAATTGAAAAAAATTTTTATTTCACGAATGAATAATAAAAGGGGTTGCCATAAAAATACTTTAATGTACTTCCGTGATAAAAACCTAATTACGGTCAGGGAGAAGTAATTTCAAATGGAATTTTAATAAAAATAATACAGAAAGATATCTTTTTGCAATTAAGAGATATCTCTTTTCTTCTCTTGCACTTTTGAAATATCTCTTTTAGAGATGTCTCTTTAAAAGATATCTCTTTCACTTTGAGAGACATCTCTTTTACAGATAAACTAAGAGAGAAAAGAGATCTCTTTAGGCGAAAGAAATATCTTTAGAGATATCTCTTTTCACGAAAGATAAACTATGAGAGAAATCTCTTTTAAAAATAGATATCTCTCTAAGTACAAAGATATCTCTTTAAGAGAGATTCTCTTTGAGATATTTCTTAAAAATAAACTATGGGAGATATCTCTTTTTTTTTTACTTGAGAGATATCTCTTTTAACCTTTGCCATACTTGTCAGCAATTTTAGATCGAAGAAAAGAATATGGTTTAGTACATGGATACATGTAAAACTACGCATATTAGCAGTACGTAGTTTAGATTATAAAAAGGTTCCATTGAATTTCATTCATGATCACTGATTTAGGAGGAGTTAAATTAACAAATGAATATCAGTTAGATTTTTATTGAGTATGATAATGGCAAAAAAATCTGTCAGATCAAAACGTAATTTATAGGTTCCTCAACGATTCTGAATGGCCATATCTTTATCTTTAGCATATAAGTAAAATACATTGTATGTTTTACTTTCTAATTATATTTTTATCATCGCAAATATATAGCCGGGACCTTTAAAACATATTTCCATGATTTTGATAAAATTTTGTTTTGTCAACAACATGTATGTGCAAAATACTCAGTAATTTATTATTATTATTTTTTTTGAATATCCGGATTTGCGTTCGTGCTGATTATCTAACATTACATTTGTTTACAAATTATTTCAATTACCTGTATGTGTTTTTGTATTGATTGTATTCAGCATTGATATGTGCAACTTTTTTTGTGTCACTCTCCTGTATAAGAACAGTTTTTTTTACGCTACCGAGAGTTTTGCAAACTGTCTACACCGGTGAAAACTGATTTTACTAAACAATGAATAAGTGAGTGGCATTATATAAGGGCCCTCAGATATAGCGGGGGAACAATCGAATATAGCAGACGAATTCCTTTTACGAATCGTGTTTAGCTTAAACATATATATACTAGTTTGATTGCCAAGTTTGTTTGTAACTAGACCAATCTGTACGAGTATTTATTGTAAGATGTTGATGATTTGTTAACTAAGAGAAATACAGACAATAATTAAAAAGATCATCACATAAACTGTCCTAGTCTCCCGTCAGAAGAACAAACGACGTAAAAAGAACTATATATGTACGATACGTACACTTTATTGTTAAAATGATGAAGACAAAGAGACTGTTTGATACAACTCAATAAGCTTACATGTACAATGACTCATGTATACAACATAGAGATTAAGAACTCTCTCACACACAGCGTGCAGTTACAGAAACTGATATCAACCTAATCTGCTAACAACGTTTGTTTTTGCGGAACACTTGGCGCTCAAAGTCTCTTGTCCACGTTACAACTGTTGAAGATTTGGTCAATTGAACTTCTTCTGCTGAATCACTGTAACTATCTGTAGTGTCGAATATCAGGAACTTCTTGTCTGCAAAAGTATGAAAAGGAGAGTAATCTGAATGCAAAATAGCATTATTCAATAGAAGTATAAGTATTTTTTTTAAATTTCAAATGCGATGCTTAGTTGCCCCCTATTTTAAAACTTTGGGTAATAATGCACAAATCATATAAAACTAAATACTAATCTCAGTTGTTCAACCTAATTTCATATTGTTATTTATAATGCAGTGATAAATCTTAAAATTAAAAAAAAAAATTCTAATTTTGAAGATGATTTTTTTTCTCAGTTATTGGATTTCTGACCTTTCTTTTCTAGATTCGGACAGGAACAGGACTTGTGTATGATATGGTTGACAAATTTTCCAATGAACACCTTTTTCCTGGGCTTCATGTCAGCATACAGTTTCATGGAGTATTTCACACCATCCCTCTTTGATGTCCTGATCTTGAAAACTAAAATTCAAAGAAATTTTGATTTTAAAAAATTGTAAAATCAAATAATTTTACAATAAAAAAGTGACAAAAAATTCTTCAATTTATGTTGAATTATATTTATAATAATTAAATGTGTTAAATGCTATTACTTAATAATAAAACAAATGATTTAATGATTTAAGACTTACTTCTTGCAGATTCACAAACCAGTTTGGTGAAATTTGGAGCTTTAGTATCGAAGGAATCTTCACAAACAGGACAAGACTTAGAAAAGAATTTGATATATTGGTCATGAATTGATGACAACAATGTCTGTGTATATGGGTAATATAGAGCTTCAAGGAATTTCACTTTGAGCATCAAAACTTGGATGAACAGAAATTTGCAAAGAAACCACCCCTATAAAGAGATTACTATTATTACCTTCTTGCCCGGAGGACCAGGTATCAATACACCTATGGGTACTCGAACTTGAGAAATGGGGCGATCTGGATCCGTAACCAAACGCTCATATTCCTCTGGTGTAAGGAACGGTAACTCTTCCTTAGTACCGCAGATAGTCTTAATGTCATACTGCACTATCTTTGAAGAATCTATAGAAACAAAATTTTAAAAATATAGAAAGAAGCTGCCATGAATATAATCAATTTTATAAGAAAAAATATAACGTCATTCACATTGTGTTGCATAAGGTTGTGTGCAATTTGTTTTGTAACCAACATTAGATAATAAATTTCTAGAATAAGAGAAGCAAATGAATACTAGTATATATTGGTACTACATGTAATGTTGATGATGCATACATGTAAAGAGTTTGAAATTCTGTTACCTGATTCACATTCAAATGCACAAATGCACATGTTCATAAATTACAGAAAAACAGGTTTAAAATAGCTGCATGTTCTTTTTTCATTAGATTTTCCACTGTGAACCAGTCCACCCCTTATTTGTATCTTATCAGCATGGAGAAGAATGAATATCGAATCGGAGTGACTAAGTACTGACTATACATAAAAATTAAGTCTCTAAAATACGGAAATATTTTCATGATTGTATGACTCGGTATAATCCTGATGTTTATTTTATAAGAATATATTTATCTTTTTCAGTTAAATATCTCCAACTGCATGATCTTACAATATCCCTCGGGACGAGGATCTGTGTAAAGTGAATTTTAATTATTATATAGAATTTTTTTTCTGCGAATTTGTCTGACCTAAGGGCCTAATGGCTCCAACCTTCTTCAGCATATCAAAAAATTAGGTAATTTTACAATTTCCTTCAAATAATTACCGTGAACGCATCTTGTGACCCGCCTTAGTTATGCTGACCATGATTTGAATTTATTCAAGTCTCCGCTGTCTCAGGATCTAGGTACTAGTATATGGAGTTTTAATTTTCCTTGATTTTATTGGATTTTTTCTCTTTAAATTTTAATTCAAAATATTGATACTCATATTTGATACATGCATTTTACCGCTAACCTTTGGGGCTAGGGTATCTATGAACTTAAAAATCTACATGTATATTACAGTGTATATGAAAATCAGAAGTTATCTTGATTGAAATTGTTCATTGTAGTCTCGCTGTTCTTTAGAAAAAAGATTTTACCTTTTTAGTACACAGTGTGAAAAGTTTGATCCCGTTTTGTGGAACCACGTTTTAATTTCAATTATATCTTCAAATTACATACAATAAACTTATCTACAAGTTCAATGCCTTCTTTGGTTCGGTGACTTTTTGATAACCCAATTATATTTTTTACTTTTTTAAAATAATCCCTCCACTTTGAAATAGGGAATAACCTTTCATAAAAGAAATCAAAATCACGTTCAGTCACAGTTCAGCAGAGGGTGCAGTTGTGTAACAAAACCAACTGACTTCGGAGTAGGGGTTTAGAATTGGAAGTTTATAGACAAACGCAATAGTGGATAGAAAAGAAGAGAAATCGTTACATGAAACTCATAGATCAGCAAAACTAAGGTGAATTTTAATATTGTTATGACCTTTTTCGTAATAATCGTAGACTTTGACATAGGCGGGTTCCGGGTTACTCAGTTCTATGTCCTGCTGTACATCAAACAGAAAACATCTCCTGTGGGCATCAAACTGTAAACAGAAACACAGATTAATGGTAGTACATCAAACAGAAAACCTCTCCTGTGGGCATCAAACTGCAAACAGAAACAAAGATTAGTGGTAGTACATCAAACAGAAAACATCTCCTGTGGGCATCAAACTGTAAACAGAAACAAAGATAAGTTGTAGTACATCAAACAGAAAACATCTCCTGTGGGCATCAAACTGTAAACAGAAACAAAGATTAGTGGTAGTACATCAAACAGAAAACATCTCCTGTGGGCATCAAACTGTAAACAGAAACAAAGATTAGTGGTAGTACATCAAACAGAAAACATCTCCTGTGGGCATCAAACTGTAAACAGAAACAAATCTCCAGCGGGCATCAAACTGTAAACAGAAACAAAGATTAGTGATAGTACATCAAACAGAAAACATCTCCTGTGGGCATCTCCTGTGGGCATCAAACTGTAAACAGAAACAAAGATTAGTGGTAGTACATCAAACAGAAAACATCTCCTGTGGGCAACAAACAGAAAACATCTCCTGTGGGCATCAAACTGCAAACAGAAACAAAGATTAGTGATAGTACATCAAACAGAAAACATCTCCTGTGGGCAACAAACAGAAAACATCTCCTGTGGGCATCAAACTGTAAACAGAAATAAAGATTAGTGGTAGTACATCAAACAGAAAACATCTCCTGTGGGCATCAAACTGCAAACAGAAACGAAGATTATTGGTTAGAAAAGGGCACGTGTTTAAATTGTCATCAGTGAATTTGCAGGGCAATGGAATGAACCTTAGGATCTGTATCTAAATGGTGTTTTCTATATACATGTATAGATGTACCGGTATATGTACTTACATAATCAAAGTATAAATGGACAATATTGCCGTCTATTTCATATTTCTGGAAACCAATCTTGCTCTTGATTTCATTTGATAACATCTGAAAAATCATATTTTAAAAACGTGCATAAGGTTTATTTATTTGAATTTTTTTCAAATATTATGAAAATAAAAACTATTAATATTAGGCATGATGATAATTAAGTATTTTTGTTGAAAATTTGGTATTACTAGTACAGAGTTAGAAGTTACGATTTCACAATAACTTAACGTTTTTTAATTCTTAAAAATATCTTGGGTTGAAAAATATTTGAATAAACAGTTGAAGAAAGTACGTATTGAAGAAAGAAACCAGAATTAAGGGAACAAAACTGTACAGAGTATTTAGAAATGAAAAAAGAGTAAAAAATTAACTTCTCAAGAAGAACATTGAATAAACATTTTTCATTAGATGTGAATGAAAAGCGAAAACAAATTGAATTGCTGTTTTTGTAGTTCCAGAAAGCTGTGGATGTGGTAAAAAAAAAGCTGTAATGTGCCCTAACGAAAAGTTGTGGTGCATGGTTGGAAACAAAAAAGTGGTGTGTGATAATAAAGCAGTTGTGGTGTGCAGTAATAAACAAGATATGGTGTGTGGTATTTTAAAAAGTGTTGTGTGGTGACGAAAAACGTGTGCTATATGGTAATAAAATTTTAGCTTTCTGCATATTGTAAGAACTGTGTTGCTTGTCAATAAACAGGAAGAAATGAAATGGTAAATGTCATCTTAAATGTTCAAGTCTTTAGAATCTAAGTCATTAATAGTTGTAATAATGTATAATTACCATATCCAGGGTTTCTCTAACTGGCACCCATCCTGTCTGCATTTTCACGTCCACAATCGCCATCTTTGTCTGGACACTGGCTCCGTCATACCTATGATTTAATATAATTGTTATGGAAATCCAAGTGATGAATAATTATCTTAAATATTTCAAATGATATATATTCACAGTATTGCTTTAACTCGAAATCCTTGTAGATATATAATTCAACAAATTTGCCGACCAAGCACTGCGCCCGTCTTTTGCGAGATGCCCGTCTGAAGCGGAAAAAGTCAGCTAAGAAACACTATTCTGTATAAAGTGAATCCCTGAAATGTTTAAATCCTTCATATGTACAACTAAATTATCTAATTCTTTATTCGTCACCTGATACAGATGTTGATACTTCTTTTAGCACAGTTGTTTACGTCATGTTTGGATCTGTGTGTGGACATCTTCACAGAAAACTCGGGTTTTGTCTCAGGTTTTGGAGTATTATATTTAACATTAGCCTGGAAAGAGTAAAACATGGTACCTTTTCTTCAAGTGGATACTACGGTATTATTCTCAATTAATGGTCAAGAGCATAAAATATTATCTATACACATTTATGATATTGTAAGACGAATTTATTAGCTGTAAGTATAAGACACACCTGAACTAATGCACACCCCACTCCTTTAACTGTTACTGTCAAATCATTGGGAATAGAAGGTATAGGACCTGACTGCAGAACAAGTTTATTTTCATCCTTAATACTGAAAGCTCTTGACATTTTATTGCCGCTGATGTCTACAGTAATATCCATCCCTCCCTGATGGACCAAGCTGCCATACACGGAGAGTGCCTGTAAGGCTATGATGGTGTCCTGAAAAGCAATAACACTTCAATTTGAGGAAGCAAGGTTTCTTGGGTTTTTTTTCCTAATACGGAGTTTTATTTCACAGGTATCTGTATTATGTCTAAATTTATATAAAACATCAATTGAATTTACGAAGATTGACCCAATTGATACATTTTGTGCTTGAATATGATTTTCTTTTGCTTAAAGCTGGACCAGCACAATTTCTTTCAAACTGCGAGAATCGTAATGAAGGTATTAACAAATGATAAGTACATGTACCGCTAAAATATGTCTGAAATATTGCGTAATTTCGCGTTAATCAATCAATCAATCTAATGATATGCAGACTGACCTGAGTGGAGCTGAATCCTCCCTGGGCGTTCCTCTGCTTACTGAGCCACATCACTATAGGTTTAGCATTGATGACGGCCTCTGGCTGATCGCCAACAGTGTAGGCCAGCAAGGCATAGGAAGTCATCTCTACCTCAGCCGAGGGGGCACGGTAAAACGTTTCCCAAGGATTCAGATTCTCTTTCTTAGGTTTAGATTCATCACGGGACCAGTAAACCATTTCCTCTAACATAAGTAGACATCATACATGTAGTGAGGAGTTTTCTTTTCTTATAAAAGACTGAATTTATTTGGTTTTTATTTAAACACTTTATTTCAATGTAACATTAGGTTTGATTATTGTTAAAAATCATCCAGTAATTGCTACTAGTACCTCCTTCTCTTTTCAGTTTAGACCGCAATAAGGCCATGATTTCAAGCCTTCTAGAAGACCGTACGTCATAGAGAGAGTATGCATACGCCATCAAACTCAACATATAGGTGTCTGTCACATCTTGAAGATCAAGGCAACGCAAAGCACCAAGTACTGCAGGATCCTATCAATGTCATGAGTTTTGTTTTTACATATGCAAGCTTCCAAAACTCTTATTGGTAACTATTTTATTTCAAAATTCATACCACTTGCTAATGTCTCTTTCTGTGTACATTTACAGTAATTTAGGCAGCAATCTTTTTTTTTAAACTTACAGATTTTGGGAGACCAGCTTCCAGCATGGCGATCAGAACAAAAGCCGTCAGTGTTCCCTCAGAATCATTTCCTTTCCCCCATCCTCCTTTAAGGTAATAGCTGTGTGTGTAACCCACTTTAGGAAAACATCCCACCTCATTTTGCTGTAACCTAAACCAGGATATGCTGGTATTTAGATCTGCTTCGTCAATGTCAATATATTTCTTAGACTGACCAAGGCACTTCACAACAAAGGCTGTGAGCCACGTGCTTCCACTGTTTCCATCCTTCTCACCAAACGCTGAGTAGGAGCCGTCAGAATGTCTGTAGTTTAGTTGTCTCTGATAACCTAAATATCACATTATGTTCAAATTTTATCTGCATATATGATGTGTACATCGTTTTATATCAATTCAGAATATTAAATGAAATTACATGTTTGAAAGACATTTTTATGTATTATTAGAATGGAAGGATATAATATTTTCTGAATGATTATGACAATGGAGCTTGAAATGAACACTTAATTTCTAAAATTAACAAGCGAATATTATCAAAGTAGTGCAGCATCACACTAAATGTCTGCTTTGGTTATATATATGCATCCATGGATGACTTAATACATGTACAATCACCCTTTTCATGATCAGGACTGTTTTTGATTATTCAAAGCAAGTCTTATAGTATGCATTCCCAAGGGAAAGTAAGAAAGGCTGTTCACAATATGGCTTAATGTTAATTGGTAATAGATTTTTTACTTGTTCACTAAGATAAATATATGACAGATCTAATATTTAAAGTATGTCTGATAGTGTCCGTTCTTGCATGTAGATGCATCATCCGTAATGGTTTGATCAAAAGGGAGCTTATTCCAAAAATAATGATCTATAACAGTTGCTCATCCAGAAAATGTAGATCAGATCAGATTTCCAAAGTAAGTCTTGTAATATGGATCCCTAGCTGCATCAACCATGCAATTTTGGTCCTGGTAGATCAATTTCTCAATTACTTGGGAATGGCACCAAGAACAGGGATGTCGACGTTTATATCTACGTCAGGGGAGGGGGGGCAATGTAGCATAAGATCGTCTAAAATGCTTGCTAAAAATTCAAATATACTTACCTACTCTCATATATCTCAAAGCATCGTCCAAAATCATGCTCACATCTTGGTTTGTGTTGTAAAAATACTGCAAAACAAATATATTGGGCGCAAAAGAGGCCATGTTCTGTTCTCCACAACCGTAGGGCATCCTAAGTAAGTCCTTAAGGTTTGTAAGAGCAGGACCCATCACATCACCTTAAAATTCAATTTAATCCTTCAAATTCTTTTTTAAATGCATGTCTCAAAATTTGTGAAAGATAAATATTTCTATATCTTTAAAGGTATACAAATAAACTTACCAATAACATTGATAACCCCTCTTTCCGAGTCCTGAATTCTGTTTGTTGGAATCTGTAGTTTTATTTTTTCCGTCAGTGTTAAACTTGGTTCACCTTGATTTAGAAATTAGAAATTTAATAAGTATAAAGAAATGTCGCAAAATCACAATTTCGGTGACATTTGAATGTTTTTTACAGCTGCAATCGACCATTATTAATAAATTGGTTTCAAAAATTCTCTGTTCAAAGTTCTCTAATGTCAATCTCTTCAGTAGTATGATGTTTTCGAAAAATATCAATTATATTTTTTATGCTTGTAAATTTTCGGAATGCATCTTCTATTTCAAGTCAATTTAAAGGTATGGCAAACTAGAAAGATGCAAGTATAGTGTACCTGTGGGACACAGGTATGAAGAATATGTGTATTCCTGTTCTATTCCCTCAGCGTCCACAGGAAGTTCCCGGCGGACCGCATCGAACACTCCAGAGCCCTCCCTACTGACGACACTGTTACCGCACGTGCCATCATCAGCAATGGACTCGGCCTGAAACACCATATTTACCAGCAACTTATTTTATTGTTCCAAATACTCATTTGCAAAACGAAGTCATTTTATCAAATGTTGATTCCATTTTTGGATCGAATTATTTTTTAAGAAAAGTTATGAAAAGAGAAACTATCAGATAAGTTGTATTAGATGTGCATTGGGGAAACCAGAAAAATGACTATACAGCTCAACGCACTTTTTAAGCTCACATGGTTTTTCGCACAAATTAAGGTTGCATTCTTTTTGCAACAAGAGGCCTATGGGCCTTATAGGTCACCTGAGCATTATGCAAAAGCTTTCCAGTGACTGAATTTGATTCATGTTTTAAGCCAGATTCTATAGCATTCACAATTTTGAAAGAGGAACCATTGATCATTATAACAATACATTTAGCAGTTGCTTTGTTTGGTTACTTAATACCCAAAGGCAGGGTAGGGGAGCAAAAAATGTATTTCAACTAATCAGTGTATAAGTGCCCCTTTCACACATGAACCCCTGACCCTTAGGCCTAGATCCACACATTGCACAATTTTTAAAAAGGCATCCTTGCTTTTCAAAAATATTTGATTAATACCAAGGAGCAGATTTCAAACAATTCATTCATTTTCACTATATAAGTAACCCCCCCCCCCCGTCTATGGTACCCCTGACCCAGGGGCCTTGAAATTCACAATTCTGGAAGATTAAGACCCTTGCTCATCATAACTATATAGGTATGTTCACCTGCGTATTACCTAGGAGCAGAAAGGAAAATTTTCAAAGAATTCATGTATTTTCACTATAATATCAATAGAGCCCCGCCCAAACACCAGAAACCCTGGGGCCATAAAATTCACAATTTTGGAAGAGGCATTCTTGTTCATCATTACTATATACTTAGTTTATTTATTACCTAGGAGCGGAGAAAAAAAATCAAAGAATCCATGTATTTTCACTATATAATCAATAGAGCCCCGCCCTAACACCAGAACCCCTGACCCTGGGGCCATAAAATTCACAAATTTTGTAGAGGCACTCTTGCTCATCATAACTATGCACTTACTTAGTTTATTTAATTAATACCTAGGAGCAGAGAAGAAGATTTTCAAAGAATTCATGTATTTTCTCTATATAATCTATAGAGCTCCACCCTAACACCAGAACCCCTGACTCTGGGGCCATAAAATTCACAATTTTGGTAGAGGCACCCTTGCTCATAATAACTATGCACTTAGTTTATTTATTTAATACCTAGGAACAGAGAAGAAGATTTTCAAAGAATTCATGTATTTTCACTACATAATTTATAGAACCCCACCCTAACACCAGAACCCCTGACCCTGGGGCCATAAAATTCACAATTTTTGTAGAGGCACTCTTGCTCATCATAACTATGCACTTACTTATTTTATTTAATACCTAGGAACAGAGAAGAAGATTTTCAAAGAATTGATGTATTTTCACTATATAATCTATATAGCCCCGCCCTAGCACCAGAACCCCTGACACTGGGGCCATTGAATTCCCAATTTTGGTAGAGGCACTCTTGCTCATTATAACTATGCACTTAGTTGGTTTATTTAATACCTAGGAGCAGAGAAGAAGATTTTCAAAGAAATAATGCATTTTTGCTATATACTTATTTAGCCCCGCCCTAGCACTAGAACCCTTGACCCCAGGGCCATGAATTTCACAATTTTGGTAGAGGACTCAATGCTGATTACAATCATGCTAACAGTTTGACTGCTTGATGTCCAGGAGTAAAGAAGAAGATTTTCAAAGATTGCACTAATTTTAGTGGTTTTGGCCCCACCCCTCAGGCCCCAGGGGGGCAGGGATCATGAAATTCATAATTTTTGTCCCCCTTTACCCATAGATGCTTTGTGCCAAATTTGGTTGAAATTGGTTCACTGGTTGCAGAGAAGAAGCTGAAAATGTTCAAATGTTAACGGACGACGCACGACGCACAGACGCACGACGCACGACGACGGACGAAAACAGATAGCAATAGGTCACCTGAGTTTACTCAGGTGACCTAATAAAATGAACTTTATCGACCTTTAATACGAGACATAGCTCTAATATGTGTTTAATATCTCATGTTAGAGGTACATATTCTTTAGATTAATTATCTTAAAAGTTTTGAAGTCGATGTTTTAAATGGGACTTCATTTATAAATGATAGGGTGTTACATATGTATGATTTCACCACAGGTATATACAAATTAAAACAATCTATCTTTCTTTGATACTACTGAGTTGAATTTTTCAAATTGGCAATTTAAAGATGAGTATCTTTCGAAGTACTTTGCACATTTTCCATACTCGTCGTGGTTTTGTCGAAATGTAGCGCCAAAAAATGACAATGCTGATAAAGAAATCATGCCAAAAGACAGGATAAAAAAGTATTGTTCATCTTTTAAAATAGTAAATTGTTACCATTGAAAAGAATATTCTCTTACATTTACGATCTTAAACTTTAGAATTTTGCGGTCGGATGTATCTTTCATGATGCTAGATTCAGAAAGTAACCTTAACAAAATACCATCTTTTTAACATGAAAAGCAGTCAAACAAACGAGAAATACTATTATTGCGCTTTATAGAGTCATGTTATTGTACAGAAAAACAAAGAGTACATGATATGCACTGTTTTTGAGTCAATGCAAGGCAAAAAAACTGCTTAACAAAGAACGAGTTCATAGATGGCTACATTTGACGAGAGACCACGAAAAACCATTTGGGAACTATCACAATCCCTCAGCCAAGATTATATCAAAATCCTACCAATATTATCTGTGAATTATGTTTTAAGTTAGTTTTAGAAATCGCTTTTAAAAATATGTTTTGTTGCCTCGTCACACAATTTTGATTAAAATCAATGTGACTTTTATTTGTGCGATAAACCATGGGAGCTTAAAAAGTTCGTTGAGCTGTAATTAGTATAGTTGCAAAGTTTTAAATTAATTAACTGTTCAGAGATTATAAATAACGTAAAAAGAAGAGAGTGAACCTCTGTTTGAATGCTGATTTTGCCGATCTTAAGCGGAGTGACGAGGTAACGTAAAGTTTCTGACTTTCCACCACAAACACACAAAGTCCGTGTCCGCATATAGGCAGCACTCTCCAGGCTGTATTCTGTTGAGGCTACTAGTGTCACCCTCATCTGCACAATAAATATATAATTTCAATGTTTTAATTAAAAAAAATGAAAACGTAATTCTATGTGGAGATTTTAATTGTCGACTCAATGACAAACAAGACAAAAGTAAAAATTATCTGATTAACCTATTAAAGCAGCTTGATATGGTAGATGTCTGGAATAGAGAACACCCTGATTTGAAAGGCGAAACGTGGTGTAATGCCCAAGATATCCCTTTTAGTAGAATAGACTATATTTTTATGAATAATAATTTCTGTTTTCAAGTAGGTAAAATTATAGTGAGAAAGTTACCAGGTTCTCATTCCCGAGGCACAAGAATGAGTGATCATAGATATTTAAAAATGTATTTTAGTATGTCTAAAAATTCAAGAGGTCCGAATTATTGGAAATTAAATGTTTCATATTTAGAGAATAAGGAATACAAGGAAAATATTGCAAATTTAGTTAATGAAGTAGATAATGTACAAAATCCGATCGACAAATGGGAACTTTTTAAACGTAAAGTTAAAGAATTTTCAATATTTTTCGCAAAAAATAAACGAAAGAATATGAGAGGAAAAATAGCACTTATTGAAAAAGAGATAGAAAATATGGAAAATAGCCAGTGTAACAATATAAATAATAGAAAACTTAAGGCACTCTACACAAATTTAAATGAACTTTATGACAAAAAAATAAAAGGGGCACAAATAAGATCAAAAGCAAAATGGATAGAGAGCGGCGAAAAAAATACAAAATATTTTTTAATTCTTGAAAAACAAAATCAAACGTCTAATGTAATTAAAGAACTTAAAACGCCTACTGGCGATTTAATAAACACTACAAATTCATTAATCGGAGAAATGAATAATTATTATACGAATCTGTTTAAAACTACAAATATTCCAACCGCTAAGATTTCGAGTTATCTAAGCAACATTGAAGTACCAATGCTGAACGAGAAGGACAAATTAATGTTAGATGAATTCCCTACACTTGATGAATGCAAAAATGCCGTACTTGAAATGAAAGGAGAAAAGTCTCCTGGCTTAGATGGTATACCATGTGAATTCTACCAATGTTTTTGGAACATTATAGGGCCCATTTTTTATGACGCACTTAAAGAAATCTTTAAACAAAAAGAAATGTCTGAATCTCAAAAGTTGTCTGTGATATCTTTAATACACAAGAAAGGCGAAAAACAATTGTTAAAAAATTATAGACCAATTAGCTTAACAAACACTGATTATAAAATCATAGCTTGTGTTTTAGCTAAAAGGTTACAAAATATATTATCATATACAATCAATAAAAATCAAACGGCTTATGTTAAAGGCAGATACATAGGTGAAAATGCTCGGCTAATCTTAGATATTTTTGAATATTGTAATTCCGAGAAGAGAGACGGCATATTATTATTTCTCGACTTTGAAAAAGCTTTCGATTCCGTAGAATGGAACTTTCTTCTTGAAACATTAAAAAAATTTAATATTGGCGATCAATTTATTACATGGGTAGAGATATTATATAAAAACCCTAAATTCAAAATGAAAAATAACGGATGGTTATCTAAAACATGTAATATGACGAGAGGAATCCGACAAGGATGTCCAATATCAGCTTTACTATACTTATTTGTAGCTGAAATTTTATCCATAAAAATCAAAAACGAACCAAATATATCAGGAATTAGTATAAATGATAAAGAAATTATTAATATACAACATGCAGATGACCTAACAGTTGCTCTGAGTGACAAGAAATCTCTCGATTTTAGTTTGAAAATTATAAACGAGTTTTGCGATCACGCCGGATCAAAAATCAACATAAACAAGACGGAATGTATCCTGTTAGGGGGGCAAATATGTATGATGAAATCAACGGTATTAAAGCAACAAATAAAGCAATAAGATGTCTAGGTATTTATATAGGACACGATAAAGAAGAATGCTACAATAAAAATTGGATGAAAATCTACCACGACATTGAAAAGTTATTTGAATCTTGGAAGCGTAGAAAATTAACGGTTTTTGGTAAATCGTGTATAATCAAAACATTAGCAATTTCAAAACTAGTTTATGTTGCATCTATATTGTGTATACCAAATAAAGAATATATCTGTAAGGTCCAAAGACTTTTATTTAATTTCTTATGGGACAAATCGGAAAGAATCAAACGAAATACACTGATCGGCGATTTAACTGACGGAGGTTTATCAATTACAGATATTGAATGCAAGTTCAAGGCTCTGAAAGCAGCGTGGATACCGCGACTGATATCTTCTGAGGGCACTGTATTTGAAATCTTTGAGAGTTTTTTGAAAAAATCGAATTTAAATCTGAATTACGTCTTACAATTTTCTGAAACTAGTTTAAAAGCGCTTGACAGAATAGGCAAGCTTCCGCTTTTCTACAAACAAATTCTAATCTCATTTAACGAATGTAAAAAAATGTGTAACTTCGAAAATACGTCACCTAATGATATTTTAAAACAACCCATTTGGAATAACAATAATATCAAAATAAAAGGAGAAACATTATTTTTCAACAACTGGGTCAACAGTAATATTCTCTATTTAAAAGATTTAATAGATGATAACGGAAACATAAAAACACTACAAATGCTTTCCACTGTTATTAAAAGAAAGTCGAACTGGCTTTGTGAATATAAAACATTATTATCAGCAATTAAACCATTGTGTAAAAAATGTGACTTATCTAATGCCAAATATTTAAACATAAAGAATGAAATGAGATTTCATTTTGCAACAGGGGATTCAAATCTAAATGGTAAGAAATGCCAATTTTTTTATAAAATTTTGATACATAAAAAATTCGTTAAACCGAATCGTTAAACTTTCTCAAGAGTTTTCAATTCCTGTAAACGACTCAAATCTATGGCAAAATATATACATGAGAAAAATCAAAGATATAAATGACAACAAAGTCGCTGAATTTAATTATAAAATGCTTCATAATATTCTCTGCAACAATACCTATTTAAGTAAATGGATAAAGGACAAGGGGGACAACTGTACTTTATGCAAAACAACTGAAACCACAAAACATTTACTTTTTGAATGTAAAATAGTTGAAAAGATTTGGAAAAAATTAGGAACTTTTTTAACTATGGATATAAAATGGAAACACATCGTTCTTGGCTTTTATCTAGAAAAGAACGATAAGGTTGAATCTTTGAATTTATTAATATCTTTTATAGCGTATAAAATATATAAAACAAAATGTACTGTAGAATTGAATCTCTGAAAGAAACTGAAATAGATTTGTTAAAATATGTCAAAAATGCACTTATTCAATATTCTTCTGTATTACGTCTTATGAATTGTGATAAACATATTTTTTCAAAATTTGCAGAAACATTAAGAATATGATGTATACATGTTTTTTGTTTTTTTTTTTAATTAGGCAGCTACAGAGAGAACACAAGTAGCATCGTCCACTGGGGAGTGTTTGGACTTTTTGTGGTTTTAGGACCCCGGTGGACCATAATTGCTAGTTCAACTCTGTTTCAGTATATATTTTGTATATTTATACTTTGCAACACTTTGTCTTTAAAAAAACATGATTCCATTATATGTATATGCACTATAAAAAAAATGTTATAATCGAAAACACATCGGATTTACTCTTTATTTTTGTAATAACTTGGCATAAATATGTAAACAATTGATGTATTTAACAACATATAGATTTTCATGTTTCTCTATCATTATTTTTGTTTATGTATTGTTGTTATTTATAAAAAATACTGAATAAAATCTTATTACAAAAAAAAAAAAAAAAAAAAAAAAAAAATAAGTGTATTCCCTCCAGGTACATGTACTATCATATACACCACATCCTTTTTAAGATGTTGCATAATTCAGAATTATCCCTTCTCATCGCAACAAAGCATTGAAAAGAAAATACACACATCATTATTTCTCTTTAAAAGCATTTTGTTTATTATGTAAAACAGGAAATGATGATGATAAGATTGTTTTTATAATGCTCAAAATTCTGACAAAAATTATTTAAAGGTAAAGTTAAAAAATGGCCTGTATTTGATCTGCTCGCTATATTTGCATTGTTTAAATACATAATTTACATGTACCACAAGACATTCCGTTAAATACATCCCTACCACAAGGCATCCTACTAAATACACATCTTTACAAAGACATTCTGTTAAAATGAAATATATGGAAATAACAAACAGTATTCAATCTCAAAAGCAAATCAAGCAATACAAAACAGGAGCAGACCAAACACGGACCTCCAAAACATCAGAGGTGGGATCAGGTGTCATGGAGGAGTATGCATCTCCTTTCGACCAGTCACATTCGCTCCTTGTCATGGTCGAAAAATAACGGAAAAATCCATTGACAATTCAGTGTGTATATAATGGTCTAAACATCAGTTACAAGACATTCTAGTAAATACCCTAGCTACCACAAGACATTCTGTTTAATTTATCACTTACCACCAGACATTCCGTTAAATAGTTGAATACAGTCACAAGAACAGGTACCACCTCGTTTCGTACCGCTGAATACGGAAGTGTGAATGACAGAAAGAATGGCTGGAATGCCTTTATACCGGAAACTGGAGAAATTCCAATCCCAGAAGCAGTGTTCAAACATATGGCGTTCCCTTTCCATTCTGTAATGGTGTCTGGAATCTCCCGTACCAGAGTGTTTTCTCCGGAATTTCTTTATTAAAATACAATGTATCTAGTGATATTAATGACAAAGTGCTTAAAACTTAAAGCATTTCAGGGTGTAAAACTGCATGTAATTGCAAAATTTCAACATTTTTTTTATATTTAAGCAGTAAAGCATACCAGTTGAAAATTAATAATTACACTGTATTTTGAATGCACAGAAAATATAACACCAATTTGAAAAAAAATTACTTGACTAATTCAGAGATTTTTTTCAGGGGATGGACTAAATTGAAATGTATCAAAAATATATCTCTATATTAAGCATATATGTTATGAACGAACAAAATAATTTTCACTAACCCGATGATATCTATTTCCCAAAGCCAGGTTTCAGGGAAGAAACTTCGGACTTTTTCACCAGCTGTGTTTCCTGCAGATGGCATTTCATAGTCGATAGCATTCTCCACTGAAAAAAATTACATATTCCCAAAATGAAATTACTTATTATTTCAGGAAAAATTATTGTTTTCAGAGTTTTTAAAAAAAAAAAAAATTTCTGGCGGCAATACTTAACAGGAACTGTTTATGAATGTATGGTATATTACAATATAAGATATAAGTATTTTTCCAATGTTCAATATTACTATGTATGCATGTCATTAACATTGTATTTCATTTTTGAATAATGAAAATTCTCGACATTGAAATGAAATTTACCTCTACTATACATAACTTGAGGATAAATGTAATCAATACAAGGCGTTGTCTTCAATACCAGATTCGTAAAAACTCGTAATCCAAAAGTCTACAAAGAACACCAAAAAATTAACTTCTTCAACCATAGTTACAATAGTTATATAGTATATTTGCATTTGCTTTCTTTCGATTAGAATTTTCACTTTTTGCCATACACCATTTTCTTCACCATTCCTTGCTTTTTCCCTACAGGGGGCCAGTCATACAGTATATAGTTCAGTTTCTTGAAGTGACCATTAATAATCATACTTGTTACAACAAGTAAACAAACCGGATGCGCAAGGAGATAATGGTTTCTTGAATTTTGTTAATATATTTGCACAATTTAAATGATAAATATAAAATATATACTTATACATGTATATATAGTGGATTTAAGAGAAAAAATATTTAGTTTTATATAAATATGTAAAGCAGGATTAAATAAAAAAAATCTCAATAAGAAGAAAACTTTCGCTTTAGCAAAAGTTCAACAATCCTAATTTATGTAGCAGTATTCCGTAATATAATTGCATATAGTTTATGTCTCCCACATGATTCCATACGCAAGACCTTGCTCTGAAAGTGATCCAACTTTGTCCAAACAAGCTTTCTAAAACAATGTTTTCAAAAATTCCCGCCAGTTTTTCGCATATCGTATGAATGTTTAAGTGGTCTTGTTTGCCAATGCATATGTTCAGTGGGTCTTTTTTTTTTTTTTTATACTTTTTTCTAAAAATAAGGTTCAAGGCAGTTGTCATCTAGCAAAGGAGCTCTCAGGTTTAGGTGATGGTATAAAGTTTTTATTGCAAAAATCAAAGAGGACTAATCTCTACTCACACTTAATGAAAAACACTTCGTGTGATATAAGTTTCTGATTTTGGTAGATTCATAGACAAACGGGTCCAGTAAAATACCCCCTGCGTCTTGGGAAAACGGAGACCCTGTATTGTTACCTGGAATGGTCTGTAGGCATCCACAGGAACCTCTGATGGGTGTCTTAACAATTCTGGAAAAGGGTCTGAAATATATTTTTAAAAATACAGTTTATGCCTAAATGTCTAATTCTGGAAGATTAAATGTGATGTACGGTAAGTTAAAATGCATTATGATACCTGTTATCTGTAAAGGGATAAAAGACATTCCTGAAAATGTTCAATGCTGTATGTGTTTGTACAAAAGAGGAGATGTTCATGTTAAATGAAAGAAAGTGCGTGAAAATCTCACTCATATCTGTTTTTTTCCTATCTCTGTTGCAGTCCCTTGGATAATAATGGATATGGTCCATTTCTGTAGACAGTAAACTGTAAAACTAAAGAGAAACCACTGTATAACTTAAGATGTACAACTGTAAACTTAAAAAGGTCCCACCTAAAGCTCTAAAGAGATAAAAAGGTTCAATTAGAAATTTATCACTGCAAATTTAAAATTAAATATACCGCTTAAAATTTACAAATTCACTGGTACAATTAAATATATTATACCACTGTAAACTGAAATGATACACTGAATGAGACACTACTGTCTAAATAAAAATTTATCACTGTAAACTTAAAGAAAGATATTACTTGAAACCAGAAAGATGCATCAGAGTTAAACATAGGAGAATACAAATAAAACTAAAAAGAGAAAACTGGAATACTAGTATATCACTAATACCTAAAAAAAAACCCACTGTAAAACATAAAATACTATTAAAACTACAGTTACATGTATCACTTCAAAAATAGAAATAACACTGTAAACTAAATTAATAAACATATTTTAAAGTTTTAAAAAGATCCTTATTTGTGTCTTTAAGAGTAACAATCAAATAAAGAAAATAAGTGCAACATTTTAGTCGGCAAAAATATATCTCTTTCCATGTCCTAACAATTTCTTTAGATATCCTGTATCTTGCATCCCCTTTAAACACAATCAAACTCCAATTATTACATGACCTCTACCTTTTCTTTAGTCATCTGATGCCCAGCTTTCAATAGATCGATACTTTTGTCCACAACACCAATGGAACAGGATGACTGCGGATCTGCCGACACACGGATAGTTGCATTGGTCCCAGGCCTGATAGACTTCTTCACAAATTCCATATTTACCTGAAACATTTATTGATGTTGAGAACTAACCTTGGTTCAAGAGCATGACATACATGTATTTCAATTCTATGTATCTTTAATTTATTTCAAAGGTACATGTATATATTAACCTTATTGTCAAAACATTTTTCCACTTGTAGGGTTTTACTACTGGAAACGACTTCACCATCACTCCTTATGTAATAAATAATGATCCGAGACTCAGGAGCAAATCTAGCTGTAATAGGAATGTTTATCTGGACACGGCCAATAAAACTGCTCTTAGTAACTACGTCATCTAAACAAATGATGTCACAACAGGTTCCTTCAACCTTTTGGAAATTACGACATTTTGAGGGTTGACACATTTTATAATCACAGAGCACGTTTCCATTTTCACAAAGACATTCCAGGCAAGGATCTAAGGGATCTGTGTATAGGGATCCTTCAGACACTGGGTTCCCAAGGTTATCCTTACAACTCTTTTCCTCTTCAAGAGAAAAGAAAGACATACAAAAATACAGCATTTTAAGGTAAGAATTTGAAATTATTTTTCGTTATGCTTATCGCAGTAGAACTTCTCCTTCTAGGCATCTGATCCCACCGCTGGTTTTTCTAGAGGTCCGTGTTTTTTCCTGCTCAAGGTTCGTTTTCCTTACTTCAATTACAACATTGATCAATTATCGCTATTTTTATCTTCAACATACTTATGTTGTCTTTTAAGATTTTTATAAGTGTAAACTTTTGCATTATTGAGCATACAAAAGTTTACGTACAGAAACAACAAGGAGTATATCAATACTTCTTATTTAAGTGAAGCATGTAAATAAGTTTTTTTGATAATTTTCAGCATTCATCAATTCAAATTCATGATGTGGTTATACAAGGTATATAAAAATACAGTTTTTTAAAACTTTTAATTATTAAATGTTTACAGAATCATTGTTGTTCTTATTTTTATAATTTGAAAAAAAGAGGGAATTTATAGTCTGTATTCTTTTGTACAAAAGGGCTATTATATGTTACGTGAAAGGAAAATACTGATGTGCTCTAGACTTTACACTAAAAGTAAACTACCTAGGGTTTCCGCGTCCAGGCAAATAAAGCCACAACAAGTGCCCTCTACTAGCTCGTACTTTTCACAGGTAGGGACATCACAGTAGATAATATTGCAATTAGTCTCTGTTCCATTCTCACATGTACACATACGGCAAGGGTCGGTTCGGTTTGGGGAGTAAACATCTCCGTTGTTAACAGTTTTTCCACTATGGTCCAGGCAACTTCCCTGTGTTTCTGGTAATAAATCAATCAGTAATGTTAACAATTAAGCATAGCAAAATGATATAGATATAAAAATTCATTAAGAATAACAGCATCTATATTTAAAGAATTATAAGAGATTTTCAAATGTACTTTTGCAAAGACAACAGATAAACATCTGGTACAATAAAAGTAAGGATATATGAGAGACGAAAGTAAAGGAATTGGTTATTAAAAACGAACTTTTTAATACAAATCAGGGGGATTTTAGAACAGTCCATTTTCGATAATTTCTGAGATTTTCAGATATGAATAAGACAGATGTATCTATATATGTTATTGCAGTGTATGTGTGTATTTACAATGATCACAAATCATGCAAAAATACATAATTATAAAACTCAGGGTTGTTCGAAAAGTTCGTGGACAACTGTCATATCTTTTTTCTTTGACGTCATATGCTATCCAAATTTGGTAGAAATATTTTTACAATAAATCCAAAATATTTTTATTATTATTTTTTTAAATATAATAATTTATTTAGAACTTATCCAGATTTTAAAAATGCAAAAATCGGATCGCGGAGCAAGGTCAAAATTTAGTAAGTTACAGACAATACACTATATAATGTCTGAAGTAATATTTTTTGTAAAATGGAGCAAAAACAAAAACCAACCTAGAAATTCAAATTAAAGATTGTAACATTTATTTGTATACCGAATTATGGCTTAATATTTTGCTTTGTTGAAAAGAAATCAACTTGAGAAGATAGGCAGTCATTATATAAAACGACAAAAATGATGACGTTTTAGAACGTCACGGAGCAACAGATGACAATGCAATTTTGTGTTTTACTCAGATAAAATCCTGATTAAACTCTAAAAATGTTGAAAGAATCAAGAAAATATGCCACAAGCGAGTTACCTGTGTGTGTACAAATAGTACAGGCAGCATTTGAGTGACAGAGACTCTGTATCGGATGAAGACAATCTGTGAATATTTCTACGATTTAACTGTAAAATTCTTAACAAAAACTTTAAAAAGTTGTAACGTCAAGGAAAAACATAGTTGCGTATGTATCCTGTGAAAGGAGACTTAAGTAATAAAAGAAATTAAAACCTTAACAAAGGAAATTATATAACGAGAGCAATAAAAAATGAATTTCAAGTATAAGAAAAATGATTAAATGAATGGACATTGGATTACACTGTGTGAGATGTATAGTGAAATGTATAGGGATAGTATATTTAAGAAATTCTCGACGCTATGTTTTGAGTTAAATTGCCGTTAAGTTTGCTTTTCTGGTACAAAACATGTGGATTTTTAATATGGAGTAAATTGATTTTTGTTAAATCGAATTGAATAAACATTCACACATCAACTATACAAATATTTTTTCATATTATAATGTGCTTATTTTAAATTTCTAGCGAGTAGTATAATAAATATTGACATCGTCCACGAACTTTTCGAACAACCCTCGTACATAATTATAAAACTCATATGGAATTGCTAAAAACCTGTAAATTATCCGTTCAATTTATTCAACGCATTAAATTGTTACAAAATAATTTTAAAGTAAATATTTCTAATGTAAAAAGTTGTATTGAGACATGATAATGAAGATTATATTTTCACCAAATCTTCTAAGAACCTTTGTATTCTATTTATTAAAAAAAAATAAATTCTAGCATCATTTCTGACAAGCTTCGTCCCATTTTATAGCATCAGAAGAAAAAGTGTACAAAAATGTGATAAAAAGATTTTATAATAGCATTTTGAAAGTTAATGATAATACCTGTATAATACATATATAAACATGAAAAAGTTATGTTAGAATTTCAAGAAAATTCGACCAAAACTGTAGCGCGTAACTTTTAAAAATTAAGATGGAAAAAGGGTTATTTATAAAAAGGAATACGAATATTTAAATATTTATCCCGTTAAAAAACAACAATTATTAGAATAATACTTGTATTTATGTATTTAATGCGATAATTTTTTAGGAGGTTTCCAGTAACATTTGTGTTGGTAAATTGTGAAAATTCTCAGATCCACGCCTTGTCTGATGATTTAATTGTAATAGAAGGCGTAAGGTCACGTGGTTAGCTCAGCGAGTCATTCACACTCGCGCGCTCACCACCGCTAACATGAGGCACGTCTATTTTGAAGACCCACCTCCAACCAAGCATTCCTATCCCTTAATATGATGATTAATGTGTCTTGTAAAATTATATATTTTATGAGAGTTTTTACTCAATTTTTTTACTGCTTCTATGTATTTTGTTTTGATTACTATCTTTTTGCAAACATTTTCTAAGGTTTTGATTGTCTTTTTTGATGTACCATCTTTTGCTAACTTTTTCTTCTGATGTTTGCCTATTTTGTTTCGATGTGCCATCTTTTTGCTAACTTTTTCATATGATTTTTTGAGATTTTTTGATTGTCTTGTCTTACAGATACTTTTTTCTACTCATTTTTGGGGGATCAGACATTATCATATTTTACATAACTGATAAGCAAAGCTTGTGAATCTGATCCCCTTCTTGTTTGTTAAATTGTTCACATTTATACCGTCATTTTAATAAATGTCATTATTCATCAACATGAAAGTGTTTCACTTTTACAAAATTAGCAAAAACAAGCTGCGTCGATCTTGCCTATAAGCATTAGAGGACATAAATACCTGGATTTCCCTCGTCCAGGCAAATAAAGCCACAACAGGTGCCCTCTACTAACTCGTACTTTTCACAGGGAGGGGCATCACACAACATATAGTTACAATTAGTCTCTGCTCCATTCTCACATGTACACATACGGCAAGGGTCGGTTCGGTTTGGAGAGAAAATATCTCCGTTATTTATGGTCTTTCCACTATGGTCCAGGCAACTTCCCTGTGTTTCTGGTAATAAATCAATAATATTAACAATTAAGCATAGCAAAATAATACAATCAGAAAAATAGCATCTATATTTAAAGAATTATAAGAAATTTTCAAGTGACCTATTGCAAAGACAACAGATAAACATCTGGTATATTACAAGTAAGGATATGTGAGAGACGAAAGTAAAGGAATTGATTATTAAAAACGAAATTTTAAAATTAAATCAGAGGAATTTTAGAACAGTCCATTTCCGATATTTTCTGACATTTTCAGATATGAATAAGACAAATGTATCAATGTATGATTTTGCAGTGTATGTGCGTATTTACAATAATCTCAAATCATGGAAAAATACATGATTATAAAATTCATATGGAATTTTTAAAAACTTAAAAATTATCCGTTCAATTTACTCAACGCATTAAATTGTTACAAAATAATTTTAAAGTAAATATTTCTAATGTAAAAAGTTGTATTGAGACATGATAATGACGATTATATTTTCACCAAATCTTGTAAGAACCTTTTTGTATTCTATTTATTTAAATATAATCAATTCTAGTATCATTTCTGACAGGTTTCGCCAACTTTTATAACATCAGAAGAAAAAGTGTGCAAAAATACGATAAAAAGATTTTCAAATAGCATTTTGAAAGTTTGCCCCCCCCCCCCCCCCCCAAAAAACAAAAAAACGATAATACCTATATAATACATGTATAAACATGAAAAAGTTATGTTAGAATTTCAAAAAAAATCGGACCAAAACTGTAGCAACTAACTTTAAACATTAAGATGGAAAAAAAAGTTTATAAACTTTACAAATTTTACATTTTAATACAAATATTAAAGCATTTATCTAGAAAAAAATACCTGGATTTCCCTCGTCCAGGCAAATAAAGCCACAACACGTGCCCTCTACTAACTCGTACTTTTCACAGGGAGGGGCATCACAGAACATATAGTTACAATTAGTCTCTGCTCCATTCTCACATGTACACATACGACAAGGGTCAGTTCGGTTTGGGGAGAAAGTATCTCCGTTGTTTATAGTTTTTCCACTATGATCAACACAGCTGCCTGCATCTTTATTGTAAAAATTTTATCATAAACATGTACATGTATGATATGTTTACAAATGTAAATGTTAACTCAAATAATATCTGAGGAAATTAGAATGAAAACACTGAGAATGAATTATCTCAGTAATCTGAAACTATTGAATTTTCTATAGCATCTGTTCATTGAGATAAGGGTGGTAGTCCATCCCGGGTACATAACAATTATGGAATACATAGAAATCTAGCAGCAGTATCTTAAACACAAACAGAATTTCAGAAACCCTCACCAGTCTCTTCATAATAATGATCAGGACAAGTAAAGCCACAACAGGTTCCCTCAATGAGCTTATAGTTCCTACACGGCGGCTCGTCACACATCGCCATGGTACAATATTTGGGCGCTCCATTGACGCAGTCGCACATCCAGCATGGGTTTGATATGTTGGGGGCAAAGTTTGACCCGTTATCAAACAACCTCCCTCTATTGTCTTTACAAGACTCTACAGATGCAAAGAAAGTTTTATCATGAAACTACATTGGCTTATTATATTATTTTCATAAATCTCTACCATCTAATTGTATTGTTAATTTCATCATCTTATTGAATTGTAATCACGAAACTCTAACATCTAATTGTATTGTTGAATCTTGAAAATACACCATCTTGTACTTTATCTTGAAAATACACCATTTTATTGCATTGTATTGTTATCATGAAACTATTGTATCTTATTTTATTGTTAACACAAAACTCTACTGTATTGTTATTATAATACCATATGATCTAATTGCATTGTAACCGTGATTCTCTTCAATTTTACTAAATTGATAACATTAAGACATAAAATCGTTTCGTATTGTTATCATGAAATTACAAAAGAACTTACGACTAAGACCAAAAACTGAATATTGTTGTAACATTTTGCAAAATTGATAATTCTCTTTGAAATTGTTGGCGTAAAGATATCCTACCACATTTCTTTTAAAACGTTTAAAATGATTTTTGATATAATGTTAATTAAAAAGTTATATGAATAATTAAACTTGGTCTTAAGTCGTAAGTTCTTTTGTAAAACGGGCCCCAGGCTCATATTGTTATAATGAAACATGATATTATTATATTGTTATCATGAAATCATGCTATTTTTGTATTTTCATGAAACCATCTCGTGGTTTTTTTTATTACCACGAAACTATACAACTTTCTTGTATTTTGTCATGAATTTTAAACGAATGGGACATAACAGTCATATAAGTATCATTAATTTACTTTCTTGGACTTGACTAACTAAGTTTTATCTTCACAAATTTGTAATTAAAAGTGCTCCTATAAGAATCCTTATTAGTTATCATCTACAAAGTTTTCTGGAATAAATTTCTTAGAATAAGGAAGATTATTATGAATGGAAGAGAAAATATTTATACAGTAAAGCCTTATATTTGATAGACGTGATATAGCCCAAACATGGATTTGAAATATTATTCGTAGGGCTAAAATTGAAAACCTGACTAACAAACCATATAAAATATTAAACATTACATTACTATCTTTTTTCTAGAGAGAGCGTGATAACTTTATACATGATAATTTTACTTACTTGTATTTCGTCGTTTGCGGGATAGTATAGGTATAGGAGTGGTTCGCACTGTTGTCACTGGAGTTCGGGGATGGATTGTTACATTCTTTAAAAATGAAAAAAGAAACTTGTTTACTTAACATTAATTAAATAAATATAGATGTTTTGTTTTGAACATATTTTATTGTATAAACAAAAGGATTGGAAACAAGTTCTTTCAACTTACGAGTTCCTCTCCTTAAATATAACTATATGTCATGCAATTAAAATACATGTAGTACATAGAAATGTTAATGCAAAAGAGATACATGTGAAATATTTGTTCAGTAATATAACAATTTAAAATCTACAAGATTCGTCAATAAATTTATGCACAGCAGCAAAATATATGTATTTGTTTCTACAGGCAAATTTACATCACCAAATAATAGCAAATTTGTGTCAATATTGACCAAATCGTCAAGTAAAAACAGGCGATTAAAAAGATTATTCCTAGCGTTTGGATAATTTCTGCAGGCAAAAAAGAAATGATAAACATCTTCATACTTTCCACATTAACATAAAGGGCTATTAATAATATTTCTTTTATGTAAATCATAGTTAAGTATACAGCTGTGTCTAAGTTTAGTATGGATTATATTGGTATAACGTTTGCCAAATGAAAAATAAATTGGGGGATTTTTTACTTCTGTAGTTAAGTTTTTTCGAAATGCATTGAGTGAGATAGCTTCCCTCGTTTCTGTCTTTAGTAAATTCCACTGTTTCACGGCTTCGGGAATAAAAGACCTTTTATATAATTCTAATTTGCATCTTGGGGCAGCGTATTGTTCCTTATTACGGGTAATTATTACGAGTATATTTTGAAATATTTTCACGCTTGTTTGGAACAATGTCATTTAAATATTCAGGTACACTACCATTATGAATTTTGTACATCGTGGTCATTTTTGCATTATAGCGCCTAATTGAAAGCGCCTAACTTTCAATGTTTCCCCGCCAGTTTCAAAGTAATGTATTTCTCTTGACACAAAAATTGGAAGACCTGTAACAATTCTAGCTGCAGATAATTGAACTCTTTCAAGCTTTTCGGCATCATTATTAGAGCATCCATCCTAAACAATTGAAGCGTATTCGAGCGAGGGTCTGATAAATGTGACATACAATTTTGAAAGGTGTGTCCTGCCGATTTTATACTTAAGTTTTTTCAAAAGCCCAAGTTTTTTATAAGCATTGTTTACAATGCTATCAATGTATTCAGTCCAGCTAAGGTTTTGTGATAAAATAGACCTAAGTGACGATGAACAGGGACACACTCCAGTCTGTCACCTTTAAAAAATAATTTAGGCATAATAGAAATGTTTTTCTTATTGAAAAAAATTACTTTCGTTTTGGAAGGGTTGAATTTTAGAAGCCACTGATTTGACCAAAGTTCCAGAATATGTAAATCATGATTTAAGTTATATTCAATATTAAGTATGTTATATGAAGAATGTTGAAGCGAATTATCATCAGCAAAAAGTCTACACAATGATAACATATTTACAGCAACATCTCTTACATATATCAGAAATAAAAGGGGTCCTAAAACGGAACCTTGTGGTACACCTGCAAAAATATCTAGTTTTGATGATAACAGATCTTTATACATAACTTTTTGTGACCTTTTACACAAATAACTAGAAAACCACTGAAGAAGATCTCCTGATATACCGTAAGTTTGTAATTTATAAAGAAGTCCTTTATGCCAAACTCTGTCAAAAGCTTTTGAAAGATCGCAGAAGACCATACAACATGATTTACCTTCAAGTTTTGAACAATACTATGATACGTTTCTAGCAACTGATAAACAGTTGAATGACCTGGTAAAAAACCCGCCTGATATCGATAAAACAAGTTATTGCAATGGAAATAATTGTACATATGTTTAAAAATAATTCTCTCCATAATTTTACTAACACAGGACAGTAACGACACAGGTCTATAATTAGAAACTAAAGAATTAAATAATTAGAAATAAAGATGTATAATATTATTTCGAAAATAAAGATGTTCATGTACTTACATTAAACTTTGGAATTGGAGTACTTGGTTTTACTGTTCCTGAAAATATGAAATTGAATATTGCGTAGAGGCAACACTATATTAGCATTCATGACAATACAATAAAGCTGCACACTTACTTCTGGGACGTGGCGTGGTTGTGAGGACCTGTTGTACTTTCAGATATTGGTCAGGGTCAGAAGGGGTCAGCAGAACAGCATCTTCTGATGAAAACACGTGTCGCTTACTTGTTGTATAAATTACGCGTCCTCTGGACATAACCTGGTAAAATTAGGAAAAAGAAAACAATGGCAGTAGATGTAAAATTTCTCGTAAAATTTCAGATAAGCTAACAAAAAATAACCGATACATCAGTGCATTCATCCAAATGTGTAAAATCCAATTTTTTTTTACAGTTTCAGTAGAAATTTTTGAATTGATAATTATCGAAGAATAACTACAATTATATATAAATCGAGAGGTAAACCTAATGCAAAAAAGTTATTATTTTACCATCACTTCTTCCATTTTCTATTTTCTGATTTTTGGCTTTTGATACCGGAAAGTAAATCTCAAATCAACAGTTTTTCAAGGAAATGTTAAATTATATATGACATGCTAAGTCCATTTTAAATGACAGACTAACCATTATATAAAAGTTATAATTTGTGTCACTTGGAGTGGAATAAAGGAGGTCTAGCTGGGCATCCTTGTCACATGCCAGTGGTTGCTGCACATCTTCTATCTGTATGTAGCTATCGGAAGGGGAGTACCATCTAGTTACTTTTCTGTAGGCAGTGGCTGGCGCAAGATTGTGAAAAAGTCGGTCATCTTTATATACAACGCTCGCATCGATTGCCTAAAAGAGAAGGTAAATAATAACTTAAAAGTTCGCAAATTCAAGATTTTCTACAAAAGTACATTTTATATAAAGATATATATTAATATAATTAATGTTTTAGGCGGTAATAAATTTATTTTTGAATAACTTGCCTCTAAGGAAAATGAGGTGATGTTGTTTGGTAGATCTTTGATGCTGAATGTAGCTTCACCTTGGAGGTTTGTTGTTACATTCTGACCTAAACGCCACAAATACAGCTGGTAACTAGACGCTCTAATCGAGATTGTCTTGTTGACGGCTGGACTACCATCGGGATTTTTTGCCGTTACCTTTACAAAAAAAGTATTTTTTAGGAAATGTTTACATGTCAAATATACATTAAACAATACATATACATGTATATATATATATATATATATATATATATTGCATATATAAATGCATTACAAAATTTATTAGATTACTACAGGAAAAAAATGACCACACCTTCCCGCGGTATGGGAAAACTGTCTTAAAGAATCCATCAGTGTCATCTGTAATCTCAAGGCTACAGGATTCTGTTGTCAGTCTGGGTCCAGTTGATTCACCATTCAACACGACACCTTACAATGAATTGTAAATTATTAATTGTCATCATACTTTGAACATACGGTTTACATGATAATTATCTTTTAATGTCAGGGACATGCTTTTGTCAGGTATATGATCCAAATAAAAGAAGTCCCTATACCAGTTCCTGCCTCTGTCACTGTGGCACTGATCTTCAGTTGTCCCCAGATATTGTATCGTCTGGAGCTAAGGTAGATTTCTGATGCATTCACAGATACCATTGTACAACCATTGATCTGTTTAATAAGAAAACTTACTGGTATCATGAACTGAGGTTAATTTCAATAATATTTGTCAACAAATAATTGAAAACTTCTTAAATACTGAAATATATAGAACATAATTTTGTTCATTAATAATTTTAAAATTAATTAATAATGATCAATTTTGTTGTTAATAAACAATAAACGTAGAGGTATACGCGATCACTTATTTTAATTTTTTTGTGAAAGCGAAATACTAATATTATCAACTAATATAAATGCACATAGACACATGTATTATTCTATTTCTCTATCTTTCTCTGTCTTTCTCTCTCTCTCACCTCTAGGAGTCTTTCTGTACACGGTCTTTCAAACTGAACACCAGATCGCATTCCAAATGAATAGTAAGAAGATTGGTAGCAGATTTTGACCGCTACCTGGCCCTGGACCGGTTTACCGTATGTATATCTAAAGTTAACATTTCTTAGATAATTAGAGTCAAACAAAAGTGATCTTATTGGTCTACACAGACAAAATAAATCAATGTTATACATAAACCCATTTAAACTTTTTTACAACTGAACATTGAAATAGTATATATGAATAGTATTTCTGATACATGTATTGCAATACATCAAAAGTGAATCAGTTCAAGCTTAGCCTTACTTGGCACAGATTTTGGCGTCAATAGATCGAGAAGTGGGCTGTAAGTAAGAGGGCGGTGTGACGGTGACTTCGAACTTCGGTAAAACTGTAAGAAAATGTTACAAAATTGTCAGCAAATCAATTTTGGATTAGTTTTGGCATTGCATAAACCAAAAATGTCCTCTGAGATTTATAGTTTTATGAGTAACGATACTTTCCGAACACAAAGCCAGCCCCGCGGCCTAACCCCATGTTGTAATGATAAGCTCTAGATCATTGTAAAAAAAGCTTTTACAATTTTTCGGAGAGAAATTTTTGTTCATGGATCAAGTTTTTTTATTCTTATTGACCCTTAAGGAGAAAAAAATGACTCGAAGATATGATATTCCTTCATGTTTCTCCTGTACATAATCATTTAAATCAATTTCACATCACTCAGGATCTGAATGCATGATTTTCACATTTAAGTAAAAATTTCTTCAAAATTTCCATAAGGCATTTTAAAATGACCCACAAAATAAAGATGTTCAAAATATTTCTTTCATTGCCGTTGCAAACTTTTACATGCACAATCTTAAATTCTAGAAGAATAAATTATTCTGAAACTAATAAATCGGGATTAGTTTTAAATTTTTGATACGTTGGATAAGTTAATGATTTAAATTGTGAACTTTGCAGAAAAGTCTTATCTTTATACATATATAAAGTAATGAAACAAATAGTATTATCATAATTATTTTTAATTTTGGTTATCTGAGAAAAAAACGCCACATATGGCTTTAAGTCAAAAATGAATACTATAAATGATCATGACACTGTTATTTTACTACAATCACAGACCGTATTCCTCCACGGAGAACGTGTTGGTGTATTCCTTGTTGTCGTTGTACACGGCTTTGATCATCCAGGTGCCGAGGGGCGGATCCTCCGACAACAACATCTCCAGAGTGGCGATACCTGATAAAATCAACACAAACAATAGTAACGAATTGTGACATCAAGTAATATACAGCGCTCACTAACAGTTGTTTTTGTCTGGATAATTCTCAGCCGAGAGTTTGTTTCTGAAGTGGTACAGTAGAAGGAGTAAAATGGAGCAGGAATATTTTCTTATTCGGATTTCAACCCAGTACTTCATATTTATTCATGATTCTTGTGCAATTACACTATATAGTAGCAAAAAAAATCTGATAATAATCACAATACTATAAAGTATTTTAATATTGAAAAAAGTAAATTTAGGAAATGACTGTAATTATGGTTCGTTTAAAATAAAATCCTTCACCTTTGGTTGTAGGGACTTGTTTCCACTGCATGATACGTATGTTACTGGGGTTCTCTACGTAAACCCATTTGATCTATATAAAAATATACAGAAAATACATACACGGAATTATTTTTTTTTCAATACATTTCTAATTGAATTTTGGTCAGTCTGTTAAAATACATATACAACCAATATCAAAACAAAATAAAGGAAACGTAATGTCATTCATGAGCTCTAGGCATAAAATTTTTATTTAAACTTTTTGTCTTATTCAACATGATGATTCTCAAAGTTATAATAAAGGAGTTGGGCAAGTAGGTTCGAAAAAATGCCTATAGCTTCAAACTATATGATTTTAATATTTAGAGCAAATCTGTTTTTAATGAAATTCTAAGGGCAAAACCTATTCTATGAAAAAGTAAGTCTTTTGGAATTAAACCAAATCAGACAAAACAATGAATTAAGATTCAAAGAGACTTGCACTTAACCACTGCGTCACTCAATTTATTACATAATAAAATTAGTATGAAGAACTATTTCGCTTATCTTTGCTAAATACTTTGAGCTTATGATAAACAATGATATTACACACAGGTATCATAAGAAAACTTATTTATTTAGACCAGCAGTTTTTTTTCTACATATATTCATATTCAACCTTGTCTGTGTCCGGAAGCAAGTTGTTATCAGCCTTCAATCGCATAATCCGGAATTTCACTGTAAAAAAGAAATCAATTTATGAATTACATATAGTATGCATTTCATAATTTTTCATCTTTTAATTAATAGACAATTGTATTAAATACAGTTAAAGTTTTCTCTCTAATTATGTGTTTCGGTAAGGAAGATTTTCTGCAGGCATATTACTTTATTGTGATATGGCATTTTTTCTCTTTGCCAGGCTGTATAGCTCACCTGACTGCCCTGGTTTATACAACGGTTTGTCCGTCTGTATAAGGGTTACATCCGGGTCCTGTCGGCGAGGTCTTACACTAATAGACTGTTCATAGGAGGCGCTGTGATTTTTTCCGGAGGGTAAACCGGTTGATGGGTTTCGAGCATCGATCCCGTGCCCAGTTAGTGTGACATTACAAGTCCATAACCCTTCTTGTTTTGGAGCACGTAATTTTCGGCAACTGATTGCATCTGAAACTATAGAAATTCGTCAGTAATATATATGTTTATTCATTTTGACTTAAAAATTATGTCATGTCAATATATGGACTCATTCAAGTTTTTTTTTTTAATAAATAATAAATTTATGACAAGACTGAAAATAAGCATGCCAAATTATGGTTTATATCAGATCAATCTTGAACCCACAACTAGAAAATATATCCAAAACATACCCCGGTAGACACACTGTATAAACACGTGCTATGTTTATTCATAAAACGTTCTCACATCTGCAATTATTCCCTAAGCTGATTTCTTGGTTTCGTTTATAAATGATATTATTATGTACTTTTGTAGAAAACACCTGTAATATTAATATCTACGTACCACTGAGATATGTTTGAGGTGGATACCCAATACTCTCTTTTTCTTCAAAGTTCAAGGCCACACTGACTTCAACAGCACCATCGAAGGCACTTCCAGGAAAGGAGACACAAAAATCAAACTCCTGGTCACTGTAGACAGAGGCAGGCACGGTAAAGAAAAAGTCTCTATCAAAAAGAACAGAACAAAAAATTTTAATATTTTTGTTTTCACCGAGTAAGCAACCCTCCATTCTTGCTCTCTATAGATTTGCATCTTAATCGCTCTCTATAGAGTTGCTTCTCTCCATTCTTACTTGCTCTCTATAGATTTTAATTAACTCTCTCCATTTTTACCTGCTCTCTAGGCCTATAGATTTGTCTCTAAATTATTACTTGCTCTTTATAGATCCTCCATTCCTATTTGCTCTCTGTAAATTTGTCAAAATCTTTATAGATTTGCTACTCTCCATTCTAACTTGATCTCTGTAGATTTGCTTCTCTCCATTCCTACATGCTCCTCTATAGATTTGCTTCTCTCCATTCCTACATGCTCCTCTATAGATTTGCTTCTCTCCATTTCTACATGCTCCTATATAGATTTGCTTCTCTCCATTCCTACATGCTCCTCTATAGATTTGCTTCTCTCCATTCCTACATGCTCCTCTATAGATTTGCTTCTCTCCATTCTTACTTACTCTCTATAGATTTGCTACTCTCCATTCTTACTTACTCTCTATAGATTTGCTTCTCTCCATTCTTACTTTCTCTCTATAGATTTGCTACTCTCCATTCTAACTTGTTCTTTATAGATTTGCTACTCTCCATTCTAACTTACTCTCTATAGATTTGCTACTCTCCATTCTAACTTGTTCTCTATAGATTTGCTACTCTCCATTCTAACTTTTTCTCTATAGATTTGCTACTCTCCATTCTAACTTACTCTCTATAGATTTGCTACTCTCCATTCTAACTTGTTCTCTATAGATTTGCTACTCTCCATTCTTACTTGTTCTTTATAGATACTCCATTCTTACTTTCTCTCTATAAATTTGCTACTCTCCATTCTTACATCTCTCTGAAGATTTGCTAATCTCCATTCTTACTTGCTCTCTATAGATTTGCTACTCTCCATTCTAACTTGTTTTCCATGGATTTGTCTCTTTTAATTTTATTTAGATCAACTGATTTAAAGAATTTTTAAAAATTATTACCGTTTATCAGTCTATCATCGCTAAACATATCACCATTACAGAGTTTTGAGCGGTGGCTGATCCATCAATGAAACATACATTGATACTACTAAATTTTGCTTTTAATGAAATTTGCACAGATATGAATATAAACAATAAAATACTTTTCTTTGTTTGCATGAAAATTAAGGATGCAGCTATCATAATTGCAGAAAAATACATTAACCCACGTTAGCATTTCATCGGTAACAGCTGCAATGTTAATTCCCGAACTTAAAACAAAGAAAGCGTTTGACTTTTAAATTGCTGTTGGAAAATGACTAACTAGTAAATATTTAAGACCTGAAGCTCCCCATTCTTGCTCTCTTTACAAACTCGTTATGGCCTTTTTGTTGCTTTCCACTCTTCCTTGTATCCCATATATTTGTCGATCCCTATTTTATTTGTTCTCTTAAGATTTGTCATATTCTATTCTTGCTCTCTATTAGGCCATCCTTGAAAAATAGTTTGTTTTGAATTGCCGCCTGATGAGTTTCAGACACAGGAGGGAGAGAGGAAAATTATTTTTTTTTTTATTAATTGATGATAATTTTTAACTTTTTGATAAAAATCTCAGTAAACAGTAAATACATTTTCTGACTTTTAAAATAAGTATCTACCATCAACAAAATAACCTAATATATCGTATATCCCAAATCGTGCATTCTTAGAACGTCGAACGTCATTTTAAGCAGCTGGGGACATTTCCGCAAGACATTTTGATTCTTCAGTATTGTTCTTACTAACCGGTAAGATCTGATGAAACCTATATGTATCAAAAGTAATTTCTCAGTACTTTCCACTGATAGAAATTTTAATAAATATTGCCTCTTGAATTAGGAATAAATCAATAAGCTATTAATTAATATATATTTGACATTGCGTAATTTACGCAGCGGGACATATTTGCAAGACACGGATTATATTTTCATTGAATGGGACATCATAAAGGACTTTTATTTCAAAGGATGTGGGTATCTATTCTCTTAACAGAGGTTGTCAACAAACATATTATGCCTAAATATGATGTAAGAGAACGATCCTGTAAAATATCAAAGAGATGCGAGAAGATTTTTCAACCTTTTTCTAGAATAAACTCTGTTGAAGGTATTTTCCTGTTACAGCGGGACAAGAAGAAAATCGACGTTATTCTGGAATATAGTAGTCTGTTAATGTGTACATACCTTGTAATAATAGTTTTTTTTTTTTTACAACATTATTGGTGAGAAAAAATCCTTTATTTTCATATAAAACACTACATGTTTATTATCTAGACTATACTGCAAATGTAAGCTGAAAACGGATTAAGCGTATTATTTCCTATCAGTATCAATTCCTGACGTTACGTCTCTCCATTCTTGCTCTCGATAGAGTTGGTACTTTTTTGCTCTCTCTCTCTCTCTCTCTTTCTCTCTCTCTCGATTGAGTGATTGCTTTTGATTGTGTTTACATATGGATTATTTCATTCTCTTGTAAACCTCCTTACATGTATTTGTATTTGCTAGTACTTGCACTCGTGTTTGCAGAGCTGTAACGCTCGAAGATAAAGGAATCGAACTGATTACTTTTGCATAATTACTGTTTTTGCTGAAGTTAATAGCAGCATTTCCATATTTGAAAAAAAAAATGTTTGCATAATTTATGCCGCAGAAAGTTAAATTTTGTGTTTTTGTATCTCTGGTACTATTGATCACGTTTGTACATCGTCTTGAATAGGAGATATTGATTATATGACATGGTCAAAAAATCCCCAAAACTTAAAAATTAAGTAAAGAAAAACATGCAGATCTATGAAACACTAAGGGGCAGTTCAAAGGGTCACAATATAGCTACATTGTAATTATTTCACTGATACCTCTTTCTTCAGAACCGCATCTAAAAGAAGTCGGTTCACTTTATGCATAAAATGGCCCTGTAGATATACCAATTAATTGATCAACACTTGATTTTCTATTTGAAGCATTAAAATAAAATAGAGACTTGGTGCTTTCATATCCTATTAAAAATTTTCTTCTATAAGTCCAGGTCTAGGAGAACTGGCTTTATGAAATTGTAATGTTCTTGAATTTTTAGGTAAACAGGTATAATTGAGTATTTTCAGTGAAGAAATATAATATGAGCGCACTCTCTGATCTCAAAAAAATAAAACACGTCTTTTAAACCTCAGAAACAGTTCTATAATTTACTAGTTGCATATTTTAGATCAGAGGTTGCGCTCTATATTAGATATCAAAAACTAGCTTTAAAAATTGGCCGTTTTGTAGTATTTTTGAGAATATGAGGAAATTGACGCATTTTGTGACGTCATAATGCATTGACTAGCCAGAAAATGACGTCATTTTTTATAGATACGCATTCACTAAAGATCGAAGTGATATTTAATGTATTGTTGACTAAAACTATGCAGTTTCAGTTTTTCAGAAATTCACAGGGCCAAATAAGGCAAAAGTGAACCTTATTCTTTGCTCGTGTTCAATTATAAGAGAGTGTAGAACAGTTTCGTCGATCGTGTTCTGAAAGAAAAGTCAGAACCGCTTCTTTGTTCGTATTCTGGTAGAAGTGACCGGGACTACGTGGTCTGATAGAAGTGTCCAGGCTGTTCGGTGCTCGTGCACTGATAGAAGTGTCCCAAATCCCTATTAACTTTATTTACATGTTGATGTAGGAATACTCGAGGATTCACACACTCGAAAAAGAAGTCTGTAAATCACGAATGCCTCTTAAAAACTTGACAAATAGGAAATTCGGCTCTTCATTTTTTCCAGCTGGGGTGGAAATTAAAAAGCTTACGTAATACAATTTTAAGTGGTCATTTTCCGACATATAAGATTGTTCTATATTCGGTCAAATTCCTTCTTGAGTCATATTAACCTCACCAAAAATTTAAGTCGACTGTCATGTACACTCTGCCCGCAAGATGTTTATTAATGTAGTTAGGCTATTTACTAATTTGTACAAAGTATGACACATTTAAAAAAAAAGCTAATATGACATATATTTCTTTCGCTATATACTGATACAATCATCTCTCTTGCAGAAATCGTTTTCTTTCATAATGCTCCGCGAAATCTTCACAATAGCTACATCTACATGTATGCCTGTGTAGCAACATGATAACACCCAGTTTGTTAGAACTGAGGATCAAAGACAACAATTCCGAATTAATTTCCCTCTATGAAAACTCTTTTTTAAAATTCCATTTCGTCCTCTTACCTCTTAATAACTTATGCAAGAACCCAAAAATGGTTCTGGCCCCGGTGCCATAAAACTAAGACAATCTCACTTATGATCTTAGTCTCGCTTTTTCAAAAGGGATACATAATGGAAAAGAAAGACTCAATGGGATTAAAAATGAGCTCGTCTTAGTTTTATGGCTCCAGATACCAGTTTTGTAAAAGTTGTTATTTTCGAGGTCTCAAAGTAACATGTTTTTCGTAAAAAGAGAGTGTAGAATATTGCTCATCAAAATAAAAAAGAACCGGAGCTTTCAGTTATCACTATACATGTAATAATGTAGAAACATATGCATGAAGGAATACGTGTAGTTCAATTGTAGAGGACATTGTAAGTTATAAGAACTTGTACTCGATTTCAATGATATATTGACAATACATGTACATTATGTTAAAAAATAACCCCCACCCCTACTCCCCAAAAATTCAAATATCATCAAAGGATTTCTCTGTGGGCTACCTGCATGATAGGATAATTTAAAAAGAAATCGAACTTAACTATTTAAAAATTCCTTAAGAAGAATATATATATTTTTTTCATTTTCATCATCTTTTACGTTCTCAAATTTAAACTTTGGATTACATGGACTCCTGTACCAGCTATAATTTGTCAAAATAAATCATATTTTGTGTCAGAAAAACATGCAGCAATGTTGAAAATTACTAAACACCTAAGCGTCTTCATGTCACACAATTATCAGATTATAGTACGATAAAATTACTATTTTTAAGACACATATTTCTAATTTATTACTTTAAATTACACTTCGTTCATAAATTACAGTGCATTATTTTCAATCGTTTGGGCTATAAGCCATGGTGGGGAGAAGGGAGGTGTTAGGTGACAAACCAATCATGATCTAGCGTTTCACGTATTGTGTATGATTTCTGTTTGTTACTGCATATATTGGCAGATCGGGAAATCAAGCAATTTTACTACGAACAGAACCAAACTCCCGGAGTTCTTTATAACATTTAAAGCTCGGAATAAATACTTGCAGGGGATAGGAACAAAGAAAATAAAGGATCATAGCATTGAAAGGGTCCAGCACAAAACCCTGATAAAGGTATATAGCTTGATAAAGCTATATAGCTTTATCAAGGTACTACAAATACTTTGATCAAGGTATTTTATTTAATGAAAATTCCAAAAAAAAAAAATCTTAAAAATTTAAATACTGAAAGTCGAGTTCTGAGTTGCCAATAAATTCACTCAATACATGCATGTAAAGTACTCAAACACAAAGAAATCAGTATATAAGCATGTCGTGTGAGGAGACGTTCTCTTATGCTGTATTTTTGATACCAGAGTGGTTTTCGTGCACGAGTGGACACACTGACAACAACTCAGAACTCGACTTTCAGTATCTAATTTTAAAAAGAATTTTTTTTGAATTTTCATTACATAAAATACCTTGAGCAAGGTATTTGTTATATAGCTTTCTCAAGCTGTGTACCTTTATCAGGGTATTGTGCTGGACCTGTTGAAAGAATGACTAAATTTTACAGTTATGTGTTTAATTAATCTTTTCACATCTATTAGGACGATAAACATAAACTACGTGTATAAAGCTCAAATTCAGTACTTACGGGAAACTGTGGACTGCATTCAGGAAATACAGAACACAAACCCAACACAGCCGATGCATGGCGAATCTTGCTGAAAAGTGGATAGTCGCCTATTCATTAGTCATTACTCAAAGCTACTTATATGTTTCTGCGTTGTTGTAACAGCGGCGTGGATCAACACGAACAAAGGGTGCGTTCTACACTAGAGTTAAGATGATGGCAGAGTAAATTACGCCTGGTAATTAGTTTGACTGAGTTAAAAGGGCTTCATCGAAAATAATCTGATTAAGGACATATGCATGTTTAAAAACAAACAAGCCAACAAACCAAAAAAAAAAAAAAAATGATTGAAATGTTTAATTCTTTAGAGCTATATTGGACAATTATTAGGAAAATAAAGGAGACGGGTGAACATGACGAGAGATAAGCCAACATGAAGGTGAAAAATTAAATCTCAATTATATCAAAATTTTCCATTAATATTTCATCTAACATTAAAGTAAACTCTATGTTAAACCTCTACAACTTGCACAAATCTCATGAAGATTGAAGTTATTTGCCTATGAAATATTATACACATACGAAAGAGGACAAAACGAGTCATTTTTTCACACTGTGACACTATTTTTCGATATGAGTGGGTCTTCTCTCCATTTTTTTGAAAGTTAATCCTCAAAGTTTGCATACAAACATACATATTTTGGTTTCCAAAATTATGGAGCAAAGACCCACTATACTTTAAAAATAGAATTTTATGACATAACTTTCGTATCTTTTCAAGAAATACTTGAAGTCCCATAAGTCAATGTTCATATCACAAACATGATTTAAATCCCATACTTTATCAGGACTTGTGTAGCGTAGTGGTTAGCGTGCTAGTCTCAATAGAGAAGACAACTCTGGTTTTTATTGCCAGGGTTCGAACCCAGTGGATACCGCATTATTATTTTTTTATGAAAGAATTTTGACGATAAATTTTCCTCAAAACTTTTTGTTTATCATGATTTCATAAAAATCAATGATGAGAACTTTACTCTAAATACTAAATTCACAATATGATTTTACATATCTGAAGCTAGTGGGCTTTCTGCACGCTAAGTTCACCCATCTCCTTTCTGAAATAAGAAATTGTAAAATTTCTATAATGTTCAAAATTTCATCTTTCTGCAGCTATCCCCTTCACATGTTTCACGCTTATTAGCCGTACAGAAAATTTATGCAGTTTAATTTATCAATTTAAACATAGCTCAATTTGTGTTATATTTTCAAGTTTTTCTTTCTGGATAAAAGTTTGTATCATCGATCTGTCCTTAATATAAACTAAACCTTTAGTGATTCAGACAATTCATTAAGAATTTTTTCGAGCTCCTCTCTAATAAAAAAAAGATCTCAGGAGGTACATTAAGTATATTATGCAGGTTCTATCTTAAATTATGCAAAAATACTTCAAAGAACAAAAGATAAATGCAAATAAACTATTTCATAAATAATAAAAGTATTCGGTAAAGAAATCAGCTCAGTTTGAAGTTCTTGAAAAAAAAAACCCAACTACTTATATATAGTAGTTATTTCTGTAAAAGCAGGAGAGAGAGAGAGAGAGAGAGAGAGAGAGAGAGAGAGAGAGAGAGAGAGAGAGAGAGAGAGAGAGAGAGAGAGAGCGACAACGCAAATTAAGCATTACCCAAAATTTTTAAATTGAATCTTATTTAAAAAAAAAAAACATTTCTGTCGAGCTCAAATTTCAGAAGTAAAACATTGTTTATTTAGCACCTCTCAGTGTGAACTAAATTAAAATTGAATAACTTGAACTGATTATAAATTAGATATTGCTTTTTCAAGTTTCTAAAATTGAAACATGACAATCAATACATAAAAACATGTATTATCAAATTAAAGATTAATTTATATTGATTCCTTTGGAGGTTGATGCTTGTGTGATTTGATTTATACTTAAGAGATAATATTGCAGCTATTGCTATGCATAAATTATATTTTAATAAGGCCCCATATCATTTCTGATTTTGTTGTACATATTATTCTGTATAATTATATACATTGTTCAAAAATATCAGTTTATCTTCAGTTGATATACATCTTTATTACATTTTTACACGTGAAATACTGTAATTTATTCATTGAATAAAAATGATATCCTGTCACAGTGTGAAAGGATATCAAAATGATATCCTGTCACAGTGTGACGAATGTAATGAAGATTGCTATAAAAAAATCTTGGGTATAAGTTGAAAATAAATAAACCATTCTGACAGCGAATAAAACTGTCAAAATTACCAAAAATATGTTGCTAAATCCATGTTTACAGTGTTTTGATCTCACTTAGCTATGACACTTTGTTATGACTGTATTATGCAAAGGAAAAATCAGAATTTTTTTTAAAAAAATGTAATAAATAGAAAATTCAATGTTTTGTTAAATGGATTCAATGTAAACTTTATTTTGCTTGAAAATATAAAAAATCCCAATCTGAAATCATATGATACAAAACATTGAATATCCTCTATGTACATGTATTATAGTTTGGGTTTTAACACGTTGTTATAGGAGTGACTGTTGCCCAAACCCACTTTGTTTGATATTGAAAAAATGCGGTTAAAATTCAATGTAAACTTTATTTTGCTTTTTCCCAATCTGAATCAATGATAACAACAACATATAATAGTCTTGTCTTATGAATTTATTAAGTATCAACATATCTTAGTCAGCAGCACTAGTCTAAATAAACACCAGTTTAAAACAAGGAAAAGAAATGTTGAACAAATAAAAAATGTTTGAACAAAATATTGCACAAATAAAAATAAATAAATAAAAGATAGATAATCAATGACATAAAAATTGTCATGCTGAAACATGTACATGTATGTCACAATTATAGTGAAGCTATTGTAAGAAAGGACTGTAAAATTAACATTATATGAAGCATAAATATTCCTGCATTTCATGAAGTAAAATCAATATATTATATTAACAATTGTATAATATTATATTGTTAGGGTTTGTTTTGATTTTTTTTTTTTATTAAACAAGCTTTCTGAAAAAATTGTCACCTTTGACTTCTTGAGATGCAATCCATAAATTTCATAAAATAAAGAAAAAAATTTAGATAATAATAATAAAATGAGATATTGTGGAGTACTCTAGTTGTGCTAAGTTTGATCCCCAGAGGTTTGAATATTTGAATCCCTCCCCCAGCCCCCTCCCCTCCCTTTCTACCCACACCCCCTCCCTTAACCCATCCATCCATCCCCCTCCCAGCTCAGTTGAGGAAAATTTAGAGATAAAGCCCTCCATCTCTCTCTCAGACTATACCTATCTATCTCCTCCCCCCACCCAGCTCATCAAGAGGTCTTCCCCCTTCAAACACATCTCGCAGGACTCTGCCAAATGTGATTGATGGGGGAAGACCTCTTGATGGCTAAATACCTATCAAAAATGACCCCCCACCCCCTTCCTCAACCTTTCTCCCCCCTTCCCAGCCTAACGAAGACAGGGGGTGACAGTCGCTGTGTATTCGACTGCCACCCTAGAAGTAAGAGTATGGCTAATCCTTAACAAACTGGTCCAAAGACATGAAGTGAAGGCAGACACAACTGTTTGCTGCATCAGCCAGATGTGAAGCATGCAGGGTTGAGCTGCATGCCTCAACCAGGGCGGAGAAGATGCCCCCATTACCCCTACCCTCATGCAGGCACCCTCTCCTCACCACCCCCACCCCACACAGACCTACACTTATACACCCCAAACAGCTATTGCCTAACAAAGAAGACGGGCATTGTTAGGGTTTTGTGATCCCTAACAATGCAAAAAAAAAAAGAGGTGTGGCTAATCCTTATCTTTAACATCCAAAAAAAAAACAACTTTAACCTTAACCAGCAGCTGTGTAGAGTAATAACCTTTGATCTATCTCTCCAGTTATTACTCTGTGACCATAGAAACACCAAAATCCCCCTCCCTGACCAGACTGCCCAACCCACCTCCCTCCGACCCCCTTGTAGAGTAGTTTGACAAAGGTGATAGGAGACATGTAGTAAGACAGAAGATAAACTAAAAAAACATGTAAATATGGCTCTGTGAGTGACATAAAAACTGGCTCTCAAAAAATATACATTCAAAACTCATTACAATCAGTGCAACATTTAACTGTAAGAGGGATTTTTTTTTCACTTGAAAAAGACTCAAGAACTTATACTGCATTTAACAATGGTTAACAATCATTGATTATCAAACAAAAATTAAATGAAAACTGAAGGAAAAAAATAAAAAAGAAATTAAACACAATGTAAAAACTTAAAAACAAAAAAATAAAGGTGCAAAAAAAAAAAAAAAGATGGATTTTGTCCATGAGAGCACTATATCAGACACAGCATACTGAGTATTTACGTAAAAAAATATAACAATGAGATTTAGCTACTGCTTTCAGCACAAGCTGACTCTAAGAGTTAAATTTTCTTTGGCACATAACATACAACGTTCTAATGGAGTATACAAATTAAATGGCATTTGGTATTTATGAACATTTATAAAAATGGCAAGTTTGTAAAAAATATTTCAAGTTCAAACAGGCTTGTACAAAAACTTAAAAATATTCACACTCAGTTTGAAAGGTAGGGTAGATGGCAGTTCATATATAATACATATTGCACTAATTAAATATATCTAAATATGAAAAAAGAGATGTCAGGCCAAAATTCTCTCAAAATATGCAACACATTTCCAATGACTTATAAAACAGTTATGGTAGAAAAGTTGCTGTTCACAAAGTTAATTTAAAACCGATACAAAAATACATTTCAAATCATATCTCCCTTCAGCATTTTAAAAGCATCAACTTCAAAAAGACTAGTATAACCTTGGAATGCTGCTAATTTAAAACTTATAAAAAAGGAAATACTGCCAGAGGTCCTGATATGAAGAACAGCAACAAGATGACCACTAAGAAACCTGGCACTGAGTATGCCAACACAATCAAGAAGCCAGGAAAGCCAAAAGAAGGTGTTGTACCAATAATCTGTGGTCAGAAGGAGATAGGACCAAAAATCTAAGATGCTACTGAACAGAGCAATGCCAGACTCCGAGCCAAGATGACAGGGGCAGCCCTTCTTCCAAACAGGATGAATCTCTACAGGAGGAGTGACTAGATC